CAGTATGATCTGCCTGATGTGGGTGCTGGAAACCAAACTCAGGCTCTCCAAAAGATCAGAAGTGCTCTTAACTGCTGAGCCCTCTCTCCAGCCCTACTGAATTGTTAAGTATTTAAACATGATTAAACTGATATCTATTATTTCTACAAGGCAAAGTGCTTCATAAAGTTTCCTCTTGCCAACTTAGCTACTCAGCTTCCTAGGCACCCTGTAGTCACCACACTAGTAGGGTGCTATAAAACTCTATCCAGCCATGACACAATGGAATAAAATCAAATGCTATGTTTCAACATCAGACTCACCATTACTGGAAACTTTAGGTAAGATCCTCCATCTTTGCATTTCATGTAAAATAGATCCATGCAGTCCACCTCATGGGGTTACAAGGACTACATTGCATATAATAATAAATGAAACATTTGATCATCAAATGATTAGTAATACAAAATATCTACTACAATCCAAAAGATCTTAATGGTTATTCAAGTTCACATTGCCAATAGGTGACCAAGAAAAAATTAAATATTGTTTTGTATGTATTCCTTCTACAAATGAAAAAGTCCATCAATTATGGGGGGTTGATAACTATTGAGATAAATAGCAAAAGTCATTCAGCTGCTCTTCTCCAGTTCTTCACCATTTGGTCTTGCAGCTTCTTAGTCCTCATCCCAACCCTTCATCCCAACCACTCTCTTCAGAATAATAAACCTTCTCTTCTGCTGCCAGGGTAGAGGGCAGAAAAGATGACAGAAGGTTTACATTTTAAAGAATCAATTCTTGACTTGTTATATTCATGGAGGGCTGAGTAAGCCTGGCTTTCCTCACCTTCCCTCAGGCTTCTTGGAATGAAGGCCCCCACGTTCAAAGGCCAGGGCCAGCAGGAGCAACCATCTGTATATGCCATCTCCAGTGCACTACTGCCATGCGTGTGGGAAGTCACAGTCATTGCCACCTGCTCCTGTATCATGCTCTTCGTCCCCAGCCATGCTAGAGTCATGAGGCCTACCAGCTGCTGGTCTGGAAGAGCACATGCATGGCAGGGCTGTCTTCCCAGACCCCAGACTGCAGCCTTTGAGCCTTGGGAAGGACTCAGTGCCAGGATCATCAGGAAGTTTTCCTTCCCTTGGTAACCACTATCTTTGCATGTGCCCTGCTTGCTCCCCTGGACACATAAAAGAGAGAGTCCTCTCCCTAGAGCAGACCAGGGACACATCAGGGCATAGGGGAAGGGCTTCAAAGGAAGAAACGAAACCCCAGAGTTCCACAAAAAGGCTGTGACTCAGCCAATGAGCTAACCTGGCCAAGGTGAGTAGGCCAGGAGAAACTGAAGGCCCCACTCCAGCCCTTCCTAGCAAAGAGCAGCAGAGGCTCTGGATGCCAGAACAGTCCTCTGAGCCACCTCTGCCGCCCACTCAAGGCCAGGACAACCCCTAGCACTTCAACTGAGGAGCTGAGACCCTTCTGGCAGGTTCTAGTCAGTTTGCTAAAAATCAAGTCACTGAAAACCAATTTGTTAGATCATCTAATCTGTTAAGGATTTCTCCAATTTTCGGTTTCTGTGCCTCACAGGCTATTTCAGTGTAAAAGGTCCTATTTTTCAAACTGAGACATGACACTTACTTGACAGATGAGGACAGAGAGGTTCAAGAATAGGGCGAGGCCAGGCAACTCAATGCTTTAGCTGAAACTTAAAATGGTTTATTTAATATTTTATTTTATGTGTATGAGTGTTTTGCCTGCATATAATGCCTGCAGAGACCAAAAGTGGGTGTTGGATCCCCTGGAATTGGAGTTAGGGACAGTTGTTAGCCACCATGAGGGTACTGGGAACCAAATCCAGGTTCTTTGCAAGAGTAACCAGTGCTCTTAATTGCTGAGGCATCTCTCCAGTACCTTAACTGAAACTTTTAAAACATGGATTCTAAAAATGTTTTAATTATTATGATTACTGTACATGTGTGCGCATGTGTGTGCCTGTATGATGTATATGAGGGTGCAATATACCACGGTGAGCATGTAGACATCTTTGTGGAGTCAGTTCCCCTCCACAATATGTGCCCCAGGCATAGCAAGTGCCTTTACCCACTAAGCATCTCATGTGTCCGTTCCAACAAGTACTGATTTTTGTTTTTTTGTTTTTTCAGACAGGGTCTCCCTGTAGCCCCAGCTGGCCTGGAACTTGCTATGTAGACCAGGCCAGTCTTGAACTCACAGAGATCTGACTGCCTCTGCCTCTGCCTCCTGAGTGCTGAGATTAAAGGCGTGTACCACCACACTCAGCCACATTGATATTTTTTGACAGCTATTATTGGGGTTTGGAGTAGTGGGTAAGTTTTCCTTTCTTTCCTACATACTTGTGTATTACCATAATTATTCAGTGATTTTTATGACAAGCAAAACAATACTGGCAGCTTGATTTGTACATGAAAAACACATCTACCAAAAGCAAGCATTGTACAGAGGGGCTCCATTCTCAGAGCACTATGATCTGTCCATAGTTCCTGACAGGCCCTCACCTTTTGTCATCTGTAGCTGTTTCCAATATCCCACAGTCTGTCTGTATGTGTTCCATACAGCTCTGTCTTCTTCATACATCATCTCTGATAACCTACAGGCTGACAAACCGAAACGCATCTTCAAACATTCAGAGAAATACTTCCACTCCTCAACTCTCCTCCCTGCCAGTTTTGTTATGTCAGAAATGTGGCTCCGTTGTTCCTATTGTTTGGGTCTATGCAGACAGGGTCTCATGTAGCCTAGAGTGGCCTTGAACCTACTATGTAGCCAAGGATAGACTTGAAATCCTGATCCTTCTGCCTCCATTCCCCTGGAATTACAGGCTTGTGGTACCATAACTGGTTTGCTTTTGTTTTTTCTACATCCTGCTATTTTTATAAAAGACAAAGGGGTAAAATGCAATCAAACAGTTGTTCTGAAACTTTTTAAAACCAACCAACCCATTTTTGGAGTGCAGTCTTTGAAAGGCACTGAGTATCTGTTTTTAAATTAGAGTGTAGACCTGGACTTCTCACTCTTTGGAAGCCCCTGGACCCTAACGTCTCCCTCTGTTGTTGGTTGATGCTTTCAGATAGCCATGACTATGGTTTGAAAACTCCCCTTCTTAAGTCCCTGCCATAAATTATTCACAACCGCACAGACACTGCTCTGGTGATTTGGACAAATGTGGTCTGATAACCACTGATAGCCCCATCATGCAATCATTCAAGAATGGTGGCTGTTTGTGGCCTGACATGCCAAAATCTGGATTCTACATATTAAAAGTAGGTAAAGATGGTCATTAGAAATTCAACTAGAACATGGCAAAAGCAGGACCATACATGGAGGTTTCTCTTCGAAAAGCAAGTGTGTCAGAGTCACCATGTCTGTCCAGTCAAGCAGCCCACCTGTACTCCCTATCTTCCTGCTGGAGAAGTTCAAGAGCCCAGTCAAACCCTCTGCAACATAGACCTGCCTGGCCTCAAGCTTAGGGACCAAATATGTTCTACTAGGACTGTTAGAGAAATTGAGATAGTTTGTCTAAGACAGTCATATCTCCTTGGTTTTTGTTTTGGTTTTTTTGTTATTTTGTTTTGGTTTTTGTTTTTAGTTTGGTTTCTTTAGAAAGGTAAACGACCCTGAGATCATGTTGTTAGTTGCTTGAAGGGGAGTGGACGGGGCACCCCTCTTGAAGTCTCTGCATGCCAGGGCTTTGGGAGACCCTTACACAGGACTAGACGTCTTAAGTCACTATCCCACTTCTCTGGGGCTTGGGACTGTCCAGGTTTGAATGAAATGTAGGCTAGGCTAGGAAAGGTATTCCATGAACTTCTGTCTAGAGAGGACATAGCTCTGCCTGTATCCATTCATTCTCTGTTCACACATTTGCTCAGTTCACATACTGGGGCCTGTTCTGAAGCCTTTCTGGGTCCCTGAAGCCAAAGACTGCCTGCCTCCTGTGGCCACCAAGCCTTCCTATGAGTGATTCTTGCCTAGCTCCCAGCTCCCTCACTGGTAAAGACAGTATGGTCGGCACATCCATTTCCAAACTAAGTCTTCCATCATACCACACCTAGGTTGAAACCCATGCTGAATCCTGCTGCTTTCTCATTCCTATTTGGCACTCATGATCCTCCTACTGTAATAGCCAAGGCTCTGGTCCAGGCCAGTTATCCCCAGTTATCATCCCTTCACCCTCAACCCAGCCCCTCCACAAACATCCTGACAAACATAATAGAAGTCCATTGCCACTCTTCTCCTGCATTTTGCCCTGTCTCTCATTCCAGCCAAGTTTCAGAAATCTGACCATAGCTAGACAGTGCTTGTTTACCACACATATGGTAGGCCTACCACTAATGGCTGTGACTTCCCTTTCTCCACCCTACCAGATTCATTTCATCCTGGACCGTTCATACATACATGTGTACAATCTCTGCCCTGATGTCCTTGTTTCTCTAGAACCCATGGGCCCTGTAGGAATGCCCAGTTCCTGATGGCAGGGATGAGGGGAAATGGGAAAAAGCAGAAAGGAGGAATCTTAAGTCATTGTGTCCACCACAGCCCTTCATCTCAAGATGAGCTCAGTCTTAACTAGCTGATCCCAATCCACTGTGACCCAGACTTGTCCCTGAACTGATCAGGAACACAATTTGTTTTCAGGAAGGAAAACGTGTGCCTCACTTTAGAAAAAGAGAGCAGAGGAGGATGATAGTTTTGTTTCTTTTTCTGGAGCAACTTCAGACATGGAGTCATCAACAACGCCAGCCACGAGTAACTAAACTTGAGGTTGCCTGGGCTTTTGAAGCTCCAGCCCCTTTGACAGACAGTCCCAATCCTCTTTGTGGAGCCCAACTGCTGGCCATCCTGTTCCCTTTCTAAGACTCATCTAGCTCCCAGAGTCAGAAGGAAGCTGACAGGCTCAGAGTTCCTCTCTGTTACCTCCTACTCACAGATTTCTCCACTGGGGCCCACTCTGGCCACAAAGAGCCTACCTTGAGCCCAAAGACTGAAAAAAATGTTTTAATAAATACAAAAATCTCTAATAATGACTCTGCTCAGCTCACGGGCAGCAGGAGTGGTGTGAGTGGACCCTTAGTGCTGAGTGAGGATAAATTAAAAATCCCAATAAGCCAGTGACATTATGTACAGAAGGAAAGGAGTTGGGCTTCTGGGGCAGAGGCCAAAAGAATTACAGGGCAGGAGTTAGAGTGGATACGGCCTTGGTCTGACCCAGCAGTCTTTCCCCTTGTAGAGTTGTGGTTCCCAGAGGTAGTGGGGGAAGAGAAGAAGCAGAACAGAGAAGCTAAAGGCACTGGGTTTCCCACACGAGAGTCAGGGTCCTCAGCACCGCTCCTCCTTCCCCCAGCTCAGGCCCATCCTCTTGGTCATGTGGCCTTCCGGCTGCTCCCTAAGAGCGGTCAGCTTCTTTCTCCAGCTCTGGAAGGGTTCTAGTCTCAGAGGCTGCTGAAGACAGAAGGGAGTGAATGTTGGAGGAGAGGGAGCACGGTGGCCTAGAGGAAGGCATGGGGGCTTGGGAGGACAGACAGAGCATCTCTGTTCCAGTCCCACAAAGGCCAGAATTTTCCAAGCAAGTCAACACATACCACCTGTGTAACCTTAGTCTAGCTGCTTAATTCCTCTGAGCTTCAGAAATTTCATTTGTAAAGAAACAGTAATAAGTGACAACCCTGCAGGGGTAGACTGGGACTGCAATTATGAAGCAGATTCAAGGTTCCTAGCTCCACAGGGGTGCCCTTCCCGCCCCAGGTAGCCCACAGCCAGCCCACAGCAGCTGTCCTGGCTTCCCTCACTTACACCTTTGTGCTGTACAGTGGGAGCAACATCGACTCTCCTTCCCCGGTCCACAGGAGAGAGGCCGTGAACAATCATCCCGCTCACAGAGAGGTACTCCTGCCTTGTGCAGATGGAAAGATACTGAGGGTCCCCAGGGGGCTCCTTCAGGGAAGGCCCACCTCCAGAAATCTCCCTGAGGTTTCCCTACTCCAAGCCAGGGACACAGTGCCCACCTTACACAGTCCCCCACTTACCCCACATCTGCAGGTAATGCAGCTCATCTCCCCAAAGGGGGGCACTGATGGGTGCCAGCTCTGGCTTTCTTGGAACCACTGCCCAGCAAAGCGGCACCCCCGAGGCCCATCAGCCTGCATGGGGTCTCCCAGCTTGGCATGAGCCCCTGATCCTACTGTTGGGAGAGAAAGAGGAGAGGTCAGTCCAAGAGGGCCAACTGGGTTTAATTTCTCTGTGAATCCCCATTACCTAGCAGTTTCTGGCACTTGCTGGATGATAAATTTGGATGGATGGATGGATGGATGGATGGATGGATGGATGGATGGATGGATGGATGGATGGATGGATGGATGGATGGATGGATGGATGGATGGATGGATGGATGGATGGATGGATGGATGGATGGATGGATGGATGGATGGATGGATGGATGGATGGATGGATGGATGGATGGATGGATGGATGGATGGAGAGAAGAGAGGTCAGTCCAAGAAGGCCAACTGGGTTTAATTTCTCTGCGAATCCCCATTACCTAGCAGTTTCTGGCACTTGCTGGATGATAAATTTGGATGGATGGATGGATGGATGGATGGATGGATGGATGGATGGATGGAAGGGATGGATGAATGGAGAGAATAGGTAGATGAATGGGTTAGATAGTGGATGGATAAATTATAGATGGAGTGAATAGGTTGGATAGATGGGTAGAAGATGGATAGATAGGTAGATGGATGGGTAGATGAACAGTTGATGAACAGATGGGTAGACAGGTAGACAGGTGAATGGATGGTTGGTGGATAGATGAGGTAGGAACTGGAGCCCTATCAGTCACTATTCATGCAAGAAGCTCCTCTCCACACTCATCAAGCATCCTCTCATTCAGGTCAGGGTCTACCGCAACCCCAAGGGTGAGGCCTCATTGTCCAAGCCCCTCACCTGGACATTGTTTGCAGCAGTCAGTGGGGTTGGCGCGGACAGGCTGGGCACAGGCCAACCGAGGACACTGCACCTTCTCACAGTGCACCTCTCCAGTGCCCCCCTGTAGGGATCCATTGAGTGAGGGTATCAGGAAGGAGAAGGACATGTAATCTTCATGCTTCCTCTCTCTCCTTTCCCCACCTCAAGTGAAATGTTTGGCCTTTTAATCAAAGGCCTGGGTTTGTCTTATGTACCTGAATTCAAATCCTCATTGTATCTTGCAAGGTAGATGTACCATATTTGTTCACAGAAGAAAAGGAAGCTTAGAGAAGTTCAGAAAGCTCTGAGGGCCACATGAAGCCAGATAGCTGTAAAGCTAGAATTTGTACCTGTCATCCCTTCACCTACTCTCAAAACCCAAGGAACTTCTCATTACGATACCATCCTTGAGGCCTCCTCATCAAAGAAGGGCTTCTCACTCCAGGCAGCCCCCTCCCCATCTCTGCAGACCAGGCTGGGTTATGGCACCAGAGAAAATTTTGTGGCCATACCTTGCAGGTGCAGACAGCACATTTAATTAAGCCAAAGGGAGGCACGACGGGGTGCCACCGGGTACCCGCTGCCCGCCAGCTCCGGTCACCATCAAAATAGCAGCCTGGTAGGGAACAGTACCCAGCTGCCATTAATACTGGGCTTGTCTGCTGGGCCTACAACCAAGGCTTGAGCCTCAGACCAGTCCCACACTAGCCTAACCCAAGCACCAGCAATCAAGAATGTGGCTTATCAAGTGCCACTCTGAATCTGTGTACCTCAGTTTCCCCAATATATTCTCTCCCCTTCTGTCCCCTTGTGCCAGCCCAGTAGCTTCTTTGGATCTTCTCACCCATAAACACACCCTTCCAGCTCACCCTCTCCTGGCTCCAGGCTTGCTAGCCCTGGCAAGTCTCTGATACCTTGTTTCTCTGTGGAGACAAAAAAAAATGATGAGACAGAGAGTGGACCCCCTCCTTCTCTCTCTAGATGACTCCTCTCCCATGGCCCTCCCTCCACTACATTTCCTCCCCTACACAGAACTCACCTGGGCACACAGGACAGCACTGGCCTGCTGCCTGCACCGGGTGGGGGCAGCTTGGTGGTGGGCACACTACAGGATCACAGATCACTGTTCGTCTCTGCAGAGAGGGGCCAAGGCTTGAAGGTGTGCTGGTCTCCTTGTCCCAGACCCTGTAGCCCACTGTACCCTACGCAGGCATCCTACCTGGCAGGTGCACAGTGAGCAGACTGGGTCATAGTTGGGTGCCCAGCGAGCCCCATGGGGACGTTGCTGCCCCTCAAAGAAGCATGTGTTAGGGTCTCGAGGCCGCCCAGGGCTGCCAGGTTTGGCTGGTACTGATGTTTCAGGGCCAGGGCCAGTGGGCATCACAGGCAGCACAGCTGCCACTGCACTTGCAACCACTGGCACCCGCATCCCTTCTGATGCCAGGCGCAGGCCACCTACCTGGCAGTGGTTGGCAATATGCACCTGAAAGGAGAGGTGGACTGAGGTCACATTGGGGCTCCCCCTCATGTCTCTAACAGCCACTGCTACTGGCTGACAGGAGTGCTTATGCGGAACCTATTAACTGCAGTACTCAAGCCTGCTCAGAATCCAAGCAGAAGGCTACAGCCTCCTTATGCAGCTGTGTGGCTCCACACTTATCACTAACAAGAATTTAATACTACCACCATAGGGCTCAGAGAGTACAAATAACTCTGTACCATCCCCAGCGCCCACCAACCTGCCCACATAGTTCCCCTCTGGGATTACTCTTGGTAGTGATCAACAGGGAGGCAGTGCCTTGTGCCAGGTGCCTCAGCAGCTCAGGCTCCAGGTCCTTCACCACACCCTGGGCCTGTAGGTAGACAAAGGGAGTGACAAAACTAAGGCATTTTAGTACAGAGCCTACTGTTTCTCCCCCTCACCCTCACCCCCAATTTCCAGGTGAAGAAACAGACCTAGGAAGATTAAGGTTTATAGACAGCAAAGCCTTTGTCAATGGTGTGCAACTTGGAAGCCAGGTCTCACTGACTCCAAGACTATAACAGCCCACCTTAGGGGCATTGTCCAGCCCATCTGCTTCTTTAGAGGATTAGCACCTCTATCCTAGAAATCACTTCAGTCAGGGGAAACAGAAAGGAAAATGTATAATAAAAGGCTGAGTCAGATTACTATCCAGGCCTGTCTGACACCTAAACCCATACCTCCTAGGTAATACCAGGCTGGCTGCCCTCTGCACCCCCAATCACAGGTCCCACAGTCCCCCAAGCTAAAAAGCAGAGATTTTCCAAGCTCCTATCACTGCATTCTTACCTCTGAGCCATAGAATCCTTTCAGCAGCCGCCAGGGTCCTGGCACCCCAGGAGGCCCAAGGAGATGGGCAGTGACAGTGCCTTGTTCTGAACCACCAAGTCCAGCCAACAGCACCTCATAGTGCAAATGGCAGTGTGTATCCAGGGAGAGCCAGGCATGCCCTGCTGCCTGGCTCCGCACAGGGGGCAGCACCAGGGCTCCTGCCAGAGGCACAGGCAATGCTGAGTCCAAACAGAGAGGTGACAGATGAGAATGTGGTCTTAATTCCAGCATCTCCCATCACAGACTTTGGGAGCTTGAGGGTACTCTCCATAAGCCTAGGGCCTGGAGAGCAGCAAGTTTTAGACTCTTTGTATAATGGCTGACTACAGGGAGGGTTGGCTAGCAGCACCACTCTATACATCCCCACCTCTCTGGATATCAAACAGAGCTCAGACAGAGGAAGTCACATGAGGCTTTGGCTTTTTGTCACTATTCCTCAGATGCTTGAATGATATCTGAGAACACAGAAGGCAGGAGATCCTGGAGCACTCACTGTCATGGCGGGCACTGTGCCCACTATAGGATAGGGCAGCCACGTGCCCTCGAAGCTCTCCATCTGGGAAGTCCTTGGTGCCAACATTCAGGAACAGCTCGTTCTGTAGCAGCATATGAGCCCCTCGGGCACCCAGCCCAGAGCAGATACCCACAGCCTGAGGGAAGGATGAGCCCTCTCAGCTTTTAGAGTCCAAGGTTTTTCCATGTTTTATGTCTCCCCTAGTCACATACGTTTCTTCATGCCAATAGCACCAGATAAGAACCTTATAGGCCAAGTGTCAAGACCCTTCTCTGCCACTTCCTAGCCACATAGCAACCTTGAAGAACTACTTACCTACTCTGGGTCTTTACTTCCTCATCTATAAAATGGGTACTAAAGGTCAAAAATATATAAATAAAGCAGCCCATGGCACAGAAAAGATCCCAAAGTAGCAATTATTACTATCACATGGTCTATTACACTATTCTCCCTGTCTGATGCCTCCCACATAACTGTGAGTTTACTGAAGATGAAGACAGGGTCCCCAGTCTGAAATTTACTAAAAATGTATCAAACGAATATTTGATATGTTAAAGGACTCATTCAGAGAACCCATGATGATATGTGAATGATATTACCCATCCCTGTTCAACTAGCCTGGCTTCCCACAGCCCATGTAATGGCAGCCCTGGCACATGGGCTCTGTGGCCCAACTGGAGCCCTCACCATATATCCTCCAGGCTGGAGCCCAGCCATGTGGCACAGGACAGTGCGCTGGTTCTTCCGCTGAGGCTTAGTCTCCAATGTCACAGCCACTGCCTCGCTACCTGTACCTACTACCTGCACCTGGTGGGCAAGGGTTGGGGGACGGTAATTGGAATGCCAGCCAAGACTTAGTAGGTCTTTCCCACTGCAGGTCAAGGCTCTGGCCTGCTGCCCTCCCTACCTCCTACAACCTCTGACTCTTACCTGGTAGATCAGGGAGCCGTTTCTTAGCAGTACGAAGCTGGCTGAGCCAGCAGCACCCGTCTGGACTGGGATCAGGGCATCAGCCCCACAAAGGACACTTTGGAGGACTGCAGGGGGCAAGACAGGTGGAAGAAGTCTTGCCCATACCCCAAATCCCCAGAATCTCTCTCCCATATCTACCTTGGTCTCTTCTCTAGCACATCTGTGCTCTCAGTTGTGTGTACCCAAGTGCCAGGTCCCACCCTGCCTCACCATCACAGCTCTGCCTGGCAGCAATGTATCCACTTATGCGTAGCTCTGGCCCACTTGTCCTCTCTAGGACCATTTGCAGCTCCCCCAGCACCAACCAGTCCATTTCTTGGTCTGTGAGGCTGGGCAGCACCTCAGCGAAACCTGGCTCCTAGGAACAGAGCAGGATGTGGCAGGTAATAGCAAGGGGTCGGAGCAACTAGCAGCAAGGGTCAGATACTCCCATACCTGAGCCGAGGTGTTGGCCTGGAGCTCTCGAAGTAGCTGTCCCTGGTGGAGAATCTGGAGCCTCAGGGGAACCTGAGTTGGTCCTGCAATGGCTGCACATGTGAGCATTTCTGAAAGATAAGCACCCTCCCGGGTCCCCTCATGCACATCTTCCTCACCACTTACCTCCATTCTTGAGTTCCAGTAGACCCCGGAAAAGCAGCAAAAAATGTAAGGAATCTTCTGTGTCACTGAGAGTGAGCAAGGTGATGCCTCCTACACCCCACTGCTGTGGGCCTTCCAGAGTCAGGATGGCACTAAAAGTCTCTGGGGGAATGGAGGACAATAAGAGTCCATTAGAAAATCCTTTCCTCAGTTTGCCCCCATCCCTGGGATAGAGAAGACTCAGATCTTCATATCAAGGAACTGTTTGCTCCCCCTTACCTGCAGCCAGGGCCCGGTGCCGGATGAGAGGCCCCCAGACTTCTCCTGAAGGGTAAGTGGATGTTACAAGGGCTACATGCAGCTGTTCTGCCCTAAGGAGCCTCAAAGACAACCGAGGCACTGCCCGCCACACCCCACAGACCTAGAGCAAAGAGACAAGAAAGTCTACCATCAGACAGTGTACAGGACACGTCAGCTAAGAGGCCCAGGCCTGGTGAGGAAGGAGTATGGAAGAGAGGCCTCAGACCCTCCTAAGAAGTGTCCAGGAGGCAGATGCTTGTGTTTAAAGTCCTGGCTTACCACTTACTAGTTGTGACCCTGAAAAAATCACATTCTGCTAACTGAACCTCAATTCCCTCATCTGTAAAATGGGCATCATAAAATCAGGGTCTTTCTCCTACTGTACTGAGCTGTTGTGAGGACCAAAGAAGGCAATGCAAAACACGCTGCTAGCACAGTGCCCAGACTGGAGAAGGGCTCATAAATGGCATCATCTCACCAGGCCATCCTGGGTGGGGGCTGCAGGGTGTTCAAACAGAATGTTGCCAGTGGAGTCTGAGAACCGAACCCTGCTGGGACGGTCCAGCCTGTGAAGAGCGGTCCAGTGAGGCTGGATCCAGAGCCACCCCCCCCTCCCCCCCCCCGACTCCCTGCCCCATCCAGAGACACCACCCCCACCCCCTGCCCCATCAGACAGCTCTTAGTTCTTTCCCAGTCTCACCGCTGGTAGGAGATAGAGAATCGTATACTAGAGCGCAGCAGGGAGACTCGGGCACGAGCAACGGCCTGCGACCTCAGCCCTGTCAGCAGTGCCACAAAGTCTGTGAGAAGAAGAGATGTGAGCATTGACAACCTCTGCCACTGGCCCACCCTTCCAAGAGCCCGCTTCCACTCCAGCCTACCTGTATGGCCATCAGCACGTGTCCGTTCCCCAGCGCCCGGCTCCCCATGATCACTATAACTGCGGTGCTCTGGGTCCCTCGGATACTCAAAGGACAGGCCCATCGGCTGTTGCTCTGGATTGCTGTGCTCTATAAGAAGTAAGATCACTCACTAGCTTCCAAAGGATGAGAGAGCCAGCCCTCTGCCCTGATCCAAGACGCAAAGAGCCTAGCGCTGGGGCCCTTCTGGCCTCCTCTTAACGCAGGGCACAGCGGACCTCACCCTGCGGGCAGGTCTGGCAGCAGTGTCCTGGCAGCTGGCGTGGTTGCCCACAGGCTAGGGTGGGGCACTGAGGTTTGATGTTCTTGCAGCTGACCCTGCCAGGGCCCCTCCAACGACGACCCCACTGAGGCTGATGGCAGAGAACACAGGAAAATTAGGTGAGTGCAATGTTAAACCATTAGACCCCAGGGTAAGGAGTCTAGGAAGCAGGGAGAGGTCTTCTGCTGGAGTCAGCTCTGCTATTTACAAGTTTCATGACCCTAGACAAGTTTCTCTGAGCCTTAGCGTACCTGTCTGCAGAGTAGAGATAATAATGCTACCTATCTAGCAAAGTTGTTACAGGACTTAAGTGAGAGACAGACAAAAGGCAGTTGGCTCTGAGCCAGACACATAGTGGGCGATCAATAACTGTCAACATCGCAGACCTGAGGGAGGTTACCCCCTCTGTGCGGACCAGCCTTCTGAGCAGCTCCAAATCTGTTCCAACATCTGAGGACGCCAGCGTTCCCCTACCCTCTAGGGCAGGGCTGGCAGCCGCGTATCCACTCACCGCCTCACAGGCGCACAGCACGCAGCGCATCACCCCAAAGGGCTCCCCCAGGTCCGGGTGCCACGTCTCGTCCAAGGCATAGACCTTCCCGCCAAAGGAGCAGCCTGTGGGGACGGGCTTGGCTGGCGGCCGCTGTCCGGCGGCTCATGCCGTCTGCCTGCTCCGGGCTCTGCCCACCAGGCCCTGGATCCCTGGATCCCTGGATCCCTGGGCAGCGTGAGCCTCCGGCCCCAGCCTACCCTCCAGTCCGCCCGCTGCGCAGAGCCACCTGCGCCCTGGGCCCTCTCCCGGCGGGTGCGGACTTGCCCTGAGCCCGGCTCACCGCCCGCGCCTTCCCCTGGCGCCCACCTACCTGCCGCTCCTCGAACCGGCAGTGGCTCCTTCTCGGAACGGATGGGCAGAGCTGGAGGCTCAGGGCCGGCGGTACCAGCCGGCCGGGAGCCGAGCAGCAGCAGCCCGAGGAGCAGCCGAGGGGCCGGCGGGGCCGGGAGGCTCGGCATGACGCGAACCGGACAGCTGGGGAGGCGGGCGGGAGGAGGGCGCAGGACGGGGAGAAGGGCCGGGCCGGGGGCGGGCCGGCGGCAGGGGGCCGGGGCCAGTGGCCAGGGGCTCGACCTGCAGTCAGAGTCGGCGCCCAGCACGGCGGGGCGGGAGGAGCGGGGCGGACCGGCGCTGACCCGGGGCGGTACGCTGCTCTAGTACCCCAGGCGCGGGCTCCGGCCCGTTGTATGCTGGCGCCCTGCGTCCGGGCTCCCGGCCTCCGCCTCAGCAAACGGGGCGGCGGCGGCGGCTCCGCGAGGGGCCCGGCTGAGTCGGGGGTCCGGCCCAGCAACAGCGGCCGTGTAGCGAGTTGGAGAGGGGGGAGGGGCTGGTACCCGGCAGGGGAGGAGGGAGGGACTGGAGGAGACGAGGGAGCGGAGTGGGCAGGGGGAGGGGAGGAACCAGGGGGCGCAAAGAGGGGGAGGAGAGGCGGGCCTGGACACCCCCCCACACACACACACACACACTACTGGCAGCCACAGAGGTGGCCGGACTGGGAGATGAGATCCAATATCCAGCCCAAGATGGGAGCCTCGGTCCAGTGAAGGGGAGAGACTGAGCCTCAGGCCTGGACCAGTCATTGGGCAAAAACCACTGGAAGGATGACAAGTTATCTCCCCTGGCCTAGGACCCACAGCGCTCCCTTCCTTTAACTCTGGCTCTCCTCTAAGGTCTCTCCCCATTATGGAGTTCCCCAGGACAGGGACCTAGCCAGAAACAGGCAGTGTTCCCCCTTGAGTGGATGGAATGTTTGTTAACCTGTTCTCAAGCCCATTCAACCATCACCCTCTAGCTTTCTCACCCTCTTTTTTATCCAAGTGACTCTCTTCCTTTCCAGCCCATCCCCACTCTTTTGTCTTGGTTTTCTGGTCCTGCCTCCCCATGGCCTCCCACCCCCACCATCCTTCCAGCTATCCCAGTACCCGGCTTCCTAATCTTAGGAAGCATCTCTTCTTATTGAACTGGAGAATTCTGGGATCTGGGCCATACTCTAGCAGACAACCCCACCCTCAAAGGAGGCACAGGATAGAGCCTGAGGAAGAACAGGGGGAGGGGACATAAGATCAGGCCAGGAGGTCCCTGAGGATAGGAACTATGGGGGGACAGGGACTCTGGGAAGGTACAGGAGCTAGAGCTAGGGCCAAAGGAAGAAAGGGGCCAACAGAGAGGTATTTGCCAGGGAGGTTTAGCAGCTGTCTTTCCTAAGACAGGGACACATGGGCCTGGTTATTTCTCTTGTCACATGTGTAGTTGTAGGAATGGAAGAGGTCAATAGGGCAAGCAAAGTCAGGCATAGGCACAGAGGCAAGTGGGTTTAGCTGCCCAGGTCCCTGGGACCCAGCAGAAGGACACCTGGGCCCAGTCTTAACCAAACACATAACCCCTCACTTTCCAGCCCCCTCCAACTATCCATACCCCTTTCCCACAACATGGTCATTCTCTAATATAGGCAACACCCAAATTACCACTTGGAAAAGGGAAATGCCAGCAAAGGGACTCCTTTTGGGGAAGGGGGGGTTATGGAAAAGAAAAGTAGGACAGCAAGAATACTGTTGGATTTCTGCAGCAGGTATAGTATCCAGGGAAAAGAAATTTGGAGAGCCCAGAACTGAAGCCCCATCAATCTAAAACAAGATCTCTCTGCCTCTTTCCTAGGGACAAATGTACTCTGCTAGCTTTCAACTGGACAAAACCTCTGCTCCTCTCTCATGTCTCCCTCAGCCAGGTCCTGAGTTCTAGGAAAAGTCAGATCCCTCTATGCAAATCCTCTGTGGAGTATGTGGGTGGAGAAGCTGGGCACCATTCATGGACCACAGTCCAGGCAGGGGCTCCAGGTCCAGTGCAGTAGGAAAAGGCGTCATTTCCGGGGCCTTTGCTAGGGCTTGGTGGCTCTCTGCTCTCTGATTGGGCCAAAGTGGCCTGGGCAGGCGTGTGACCCCACTGCCGGTGAAGGGTCTGTGCCCAACACGTATCTTCCTACTTATCTGCTCCCCAGAGTGTGGCCTGCTGTACACCTGGAGCTCTTCTCCACCTGGTGAGTGGCAAGCAGAGTTTGGGTGAGGGTATGGCATGAAAGACAGGAAAGAAGAATTGGGCTCAGCTGGGGGAGGGGCAGGCAAACTGGAACCTACAGGCACTGACCTTTGTCAAGAAGAGTGGAGCCTTCCCAGAATGGGAGGAGCAGAATAGAGCAGGGGAAAGGGGGTTGGGTACTGGTTTATGAGGGGACTGTTCACAGACTTGGTGGAATAGAGAGTAGGCCTGGCTGGTCGCAGGACCATAAGAAAATAAGAGCAAAGAAATACCATACCAAGGGACATAACCGCCATTCTCATATATGGTCAATCCTCCTTAGCTTAAGGTTCTGAATCCTGGGACTGAGGACCAAAGCATGAGAAGGTAATGGAAGGAGGGCTTGTGTATGTTGACAGACCTACAGGAAATCCCAATATTGAATCAGGTGCAGGCCTCTTTGCACAACTTGTGAAAAGAGGAAGCTATGTGGGGGGTCCTATGAAGGAACTCAAAGGGGTCTGGAGAGGGGGCAGGGAGGCAGGCACAGCTGAAACGGATGGGTTGGCAGATGTCTAAGGTGAGGTAAGCCATGTAAGGTAGGCATCATCTCACTCAGCAAGTGCCTCATCCTGGGCCATTTGCCTCAGGAAGGAAGTCCTAGTACTGTTAGGCCATTTGACTTGAATAACAAGGTCTTTCAGAACTTGGAAGTCCAAGGAAAAATATCAGGCTTTATGTGTCTAGTAAATAGGGAAAGAATAAACAGCTAGTGTCATTTAATCCATTCCTCTGATGGTCCCAGTTATATCTTTATCCAATTTCCCACCTCATTCTCCTTCCAACACTAAAGATACATGTCTGCTATTTCCTCATCTTGGCCTGATACCCCATTTTCCACTCTCTTCTCCAGACTTGCACCACAACACTTCCCTTCTCTATCTCCATCTCAGATTCTCTCCCATCTAATAACCAAGGTTGCTCACAATTTGGGGCCAATCAAGATGTGTGTATGCATGCCATGTCCTGCTACTCTCTACAGGGCAAGGGGTAAGGGGACTTTGCTTTGGTCACAAGAAAATATGCAGGCAGTTGGAGCTAGGTTATCCAGCAGCTCAAGCCTCCTAGCATCTGTCTCCCCCATGCCAGGCAGTCTTTTTCCTGAAGCTTGATGAATGAAACTCGACTATTTCTGTCACATTCAGGATACAGTCCAGACCCTCTTCCCTTGGCCCACCTGTGCCCTACCCCACTCTGTGCAGAAGTGCAAGAGCTCAAGCCGCCTCCATGGCCCCAGGAAAGATTCAGGGGAGAGGCCCCATTCAGGGAGCCACTCCAGCCAGACACCCTGGCCAGAATGGAGCTGACTGGTAAGAACACAGTAGGAGCTGGGAACTGATTGAAGCATAGTGAGGTGGGGGAGAGAAGAAAAGAGGCTACAGGGGTAGAGGGCTGGGGAACCCAGTCTCCCATGGAAAGGGAGCAGAGCCCTGGATTTCAGGTCTGCCTCCTAAGTGGGAATCCCTGGATCACCACCTGAAAATGATTTCTTCCTTACCCACCCTTCATCATCACTTCTCATCTAAGATTTGCTCCTCGTGGTCACACTTCTCCTTACTACAAGACTAACTCTGTGCAGCCCGGCTCCTCCTGCCTGTGACCCTCGACTTCTAAATAAACTGCTCCGTGACTCCCATGTCCTTCACAGCCAACTGGTGAGAATTCCGAAGCGCTATGCCTTAACTGATAAGGTACCTCATCTCTATCATTTCTTCTCACTCCCTGAACAATGAGTTTTCTGTTAGTGTTATCTTTGGTAAGACCACCACGTCCTGATCCCCACTCTCTGGCAAGGACTATGTTTCGCCCTAGAGTCTCTCAGAAGCTCTAGTACAGGCATAGTACTCATGAAGATTACTCCAGTCATAGGCCACTATACCGCTATTTCAGCTTCTTTTTTTCTCTTACCCGTGTTTTCTTAACAGAGCCAGTGCCCAGACATCAGTCCTTTGTCCACACCTGTCCTGTTGCCTGCTGTGGACTTTAGCCTGGGAGAATGGAAATCTCAGACGGTAAGAAAGCCATCCCTGGCCAGGTGTGGTGGTGCATGCCTTTGATTTCAGCACTTGGGAGGCAGAGGCAGGCAGGTCCTTATGAGTTCAAGGTCAGCCCAGTCTACATAGTAAGTTCTAGACCAACTGGGGCTCCAGGGAGGCCATCTCAAAAAATAGAAGAAGAAAATCATCCTTGGACTTGGGTATAGCTCACATGCCTCACATGTGCAAGGTTCTAGGCTGAGACAGGATAATTGCCTAGATTCTGAGGCCAGCCTGGGATACATAGCAATACATAGTGGCTACAGAGTGAGACCCCGTCACCCCCAAAATAAAATAAAAACCACAAAAGGGAATCTCTTACCTTGGCTTCCCCTACGTCTTTTCATCATCAGGTCCCTATTGCTCCCCAAAGAGTCTTCAAAATTCTTGAGCTCCCTAAAAATCTTAACTTTCAGCTTCGCCACCTTTACCCAGTTTACATTCACCAGATGATATCTTGTGGACAAAACATGAGATTTCAACCCAATATGGTAAATAGATTTGGAGCTGAACACTATAAAAAGCTGATTAGAAGCCTCTCATGACATATTTTTACCTATTTCTGCTCAACCTCCCACATGTATATATATGGGGGAGGTGCCATGGCATTCGGAGGTCAGAACAATTTGAGAGTCCCAAAGTCTTGAACTCAGGTGTTAGGCTTGGCCTTTATTTACCCTCTGAGCCATCTCACTGGCTCCTCAACCATCTTAAGTTGCCATGAAGAATGAAGTCTGGTCTGCTGTCCACAAATGACACAAAGCAGGAAGTACCACTCAAAGAACAAAAGCCAAAATCAAGATTCAAATCACTGCTTGGCATGGTGACACATACTAACTAGGAATCCCAGTACTCCAGAGGGCAGGGCAAGAAGATGGGGAGTTGCCAGTTAACCTAGGCTACAGAGTAAGATTTTATCTCAAAAACAAAAGAAAGTATCAAAAGCAAACCAGGTAGACATGACTATAATCCCTAGTCTCCTTCCTTCCCTTAAATCTGCTAGGGTCCAGGGTCAGGGAAGAACATGGTCTCACAGGGTGTGATAGTGCACACCTTTTTTTAAAATTTTCGGTCGTTTTGTGACAGGGTCTCCCTGTAGCCCCAGCTGGCCTCGAACTCGCTATGTAGACCAGCCTGGCCTTGAATTCACAGAGATCCCCCTGCCTCTGCCTCTTAAATGCTGGGATTAAAGGTGTGCCCCACCACGCCCAGTCTGGGGTACAGCTTTAATCCCAGCACTCGGGAAGCAGAGGCAAGTGGACCTCTGTGAGATCAAGGTCAGCTGGGACTACAAGGAGACCCTGTTTCAGAAAAGAAAAAGAAACAGTCTCATTATGTATTCTGACTGGCCTTGAACTTATAATCTTCCTGCCTTAGTCTCCCAAGTGTTGGGATTATAGACATGTGCCATGATACCCAGCTCTGCCATTTATTAAGTCTTTTTGCTACATCTTTATGGTTATTGTGAGAGTTTTATCACTACATTTAGTTTAGAAATACTGTGGTGCTACAATTTTATAGGAGAAAGAATAGATTTGTAACACTATAACCAAGGGCTAAGAGCTATAAGAGCTTTCTGACTGAAAGTCATGAAGGACCAGGCAAGGCTGGTGGACACTGGAGTTACTGAAGCAGAGGCCAATGACCAGTTGTTAAGAGACTATGAAGGAATTCCTGTGGTGGGTGGGACCCTCATCCTGTCCAATTCTTAGCTCCTATGATTCATTCTGCTGGCCGCTCCTGTGGGTTCCCCACCCACTATTAGCACGTTTTTTTGAAGCACTCTGCTTCTCTCTTCCCTATCTTTCCCAGGAGCAGACCAAGGCACAGGACGTTCTAGGGGCAGTGACCCTACTACTGGAGGGAGTAATGGCAGCCCGAGGACAGGTAGAACCCACCTGCCTTTCATCTCTCCTGGGACAGCTTTCTGGGCAGGTCCGCCTCCTCCTGGGGGCCTTGCGGGGCCTTCTTGGAACCCAGGTAAGTCCCTAGTCAAGAGACCTACAGAAACTGTTTTACTCAGCCCCTATAAGACCTGAGAGAGAAAGGGGATTCTAGGCACATTCAGGGTATGAGAATTGATCTATAAAGTGGTGCCTCCCAAGCCATAGTGCCTAGGTTCTGGCACTCAAGAGAGGCCTGATAATGTTGACCTGCTCTCTGGCCTCAGGCCCATCCTCTGCCCTCAGCTTCCTCCACAGGGCAGGACCACAGCTCACAAGGATCCCAATGCCATCTTCCTGAGCTTCCAACAACTGCTCCGAGGAAAGGTGCGTTTCCTGCTGCTTGTAGAAGGTCCCACCCTCTGTGTCAGGCGGGCCCTGCCCACCACAGCTATCCCAAGCAGTACCTCCTTACTCCTCACACTGAACAAGCTCCCAAACAGGACTTCTGGATTGTTGGAGATGAACTTCAATGTCTCAGCCAAAACTACTGGCCCTGGACTTCTGAACAGGCTGCAAGAATTCAGAGCCAAGACTGTTCCTGGTCAACTGAATCAAACTTCCAGGTCCCCCGACCAAATCCCCGGATACTGGAACAGGGCACATGGACCCTTGAATGGAACTCATGGACTCTTTGCTGGAGCCTCACCCCAGACCCTCAAAGTCCCAGACATTCCACCAGGAGCTTTGAACACAGGCTCCCTGCCATTCAACTTCCAGCCTGGATCTCCTCCTTCCCCAACCCATCCTCCTGCTGGACAGTACACACTCTCCCCTTCTTTACCCACCTCGTCCACCCTTGGGACTCCACCCCAGCTCCACCCTCTGGTTCCTGATCCTGCCACCAAAGTGCATAACTCTACCAGCCCTCGTCCAATCACAGTGTACTCTCATTCCCAGAATTTGTCTCAGGAAGCATAAGGCACACAGGCACAGGCAGCATCTGCAGCATCTCTCAGGCACAGACTTCTCCCCTGGGAGACAAATGCAGCTATTCAGCTGAGACCCAAATCCCTGGGACAGGAAAAGAATTTTTTTTTTCTGTATAACATAAAATTTCAGGAACTATTTTTTTAAAAACCTATCAACAATATTTATCAGGCAGCTACTTATCTTTGGCCTATTTTCTGCATAAATTTGCAAATCACTAATTCTCTATCTGCTCTTTTTCATACAATAATTCTGCAAAGGCCTAGACTTGCCCAGCCTTTGAACAGAGGTAGAGACTAACATTATATAAGAAAACAAAAAAGTTAGTTTACTTTGACTGTCTGCATTCCCTTCCGTACAATTCTCAGTGAAGCTGTTTGGTTCTCTATTCTTAAAGCAATACTACTCTTGACAAATGAGTAATAGTAATAGGTTATCTCTTAGAAAGGCTGTCCAGAGAGAGAGAGAGAGAACAGCCTATAAAATAAATGAAGGAAAGATATCCTTCACAGGGGCAATAGACCTGGACCCTACCTCACAAGAAGCTAACAGGAAGCCTGCAGAGTCCCACACCCAGGTAAGACTGGGCAGACTGTCAGTGAAGACAAGACCTGGATGTGACTGACAGCTGAGCAAACAGCTCAGTCTATCAGCAGCTCAGCAGGAGCCTCTCCAGGCCTGGGCTCCTGCTTCCCTCCTGTGGAGGTCAGAGGGAAGTGCAGGAAGTGGCAAGAGTCAGAATCCATAGTTGACACAGCAGGAGGACAAGCACAAAGCAAGCAGTACAAGGCTCTCTCTAATTCCCACAAGTGCATCTAAAAAGCAGCCCTGTGTGACTACCTTAAACTCCACTAGGGGACCCCTAAAATGAAAGTTTCTGGGATCTGCAAATAAGTGCTTGTTGATGCTGGTTTATGTTGCACAGAAACAAAAGCTATATTGCCACGGGGTGTGGTGGCTCACACCTTTAATCCCAGCACAGAGGAGGCAAAGGCAGGAGGATCTACACAGAATTCCAAGCAAGCTGGAGTTGCACGGAGACCCCGTCTCAAAAACAACAAACAGAGCCAGGCGCGGTGGCATACACCTTTAATCCAGCACTTGGGAGGCAAAGGCAGGCGGATCTCTGTGAGTTCAAGGCCAGCCTGGTCTACATAGTGAGTTCCAGGACAGCTGGAGCTACAGGGAGATCCTGTCTCAAAAAGACCAAAAAAAAAAGCCCCACAAAACTATATTGCCAAGGTCAACCTGCTACCTTCAGTCCTTGTAAAAGAACTAGTGAAAGCTTTTTCCTCTCTTCTACCCCGAAGTAAAGGAGGAAAAGCTTCCATGTAGGTAGAGAAGCCAGGATCCCAGAGAGAGTTCCAAACACTACCACACACATGCAAAAAAAAGCAAGGGCAAGATGTTCTTCACAAAGGTAACTGATCCGCCAAACAGCAGCACCCCTAACAACTCTGTAAGAATCTTTACAGATGAAGAAACTAATGCCAGATGGGTTTCCCAATGGTCACATGGCCTGTGAGCAGAAAAAGACACCCTGTTTTGACGTCTTACCCATAAGCCTCCCTACGGTGGTATACTGTCCAATTATGGCTTCAGTGATTCTGCTTAATACAAGACTTCCAAGTTCTTAGACAACAAATACGCCAACTATTAAAAAGTTCTGAGTAGAAAATCAGAACTCCTGGTTCATGGGCGGAACCTGGAGAAGGAATCAGCAAAATGCGCAAAGCTCAAAAATGTTATCCAAATCTCAGATAGCTTCAGTTTCTATATAAGAAAGAATTAGTTCATCTACACTACAAATTCTAGGATAAAGAAATACAATCTGGGGCCTGGAGAGGCCACTGACTGCTCTTGCAGAGGACCTGGGTTCAGTACCCAGCACCCACATGGTAGCTAACAACTGCCCATAGTTTCAGTTCCAGGAGATCCACACCCTCTTCTATCCTCCACAGGCATTGCATACATGTGGTGCACTTACATACATTCAGGCAAACTGCTCATAATATAAAAATGAATATTTTTAAAAATTTTAAAACAGTATAATTTGTAATCTTCTGTAAAACTGAAGGTTAAATTTAACATTAAAAAAACAAACCATGGTGCTGGAGAGATGGCTCAGCGGTCAAGAGCACTGGCTGCTCTTGCAGAGGACTAGGGTTCGATTCCCAGCACCCACATGATGGCTAACAACCATTTGTAACTCCCATTCCAGGGGATCTATCGCCCTCTTCTGACCTGTGCAGGCACTGCACAACATGGGTGCACTTATACACATGCAAGCAATACATTCATACACATAAAATGAAAATAATAAATTTCTTTTTAAAATTTAGGCTCATGAAATGGCTTGGTAGATAAAAGTGCTTGCCACACTGGGGCTGGAGAGATGGCTCAGCGGTTAAGAGCACTGACTGCTCTTGCAGAGGACCCGGGTTCGATTCCCAGAACCCACATGGCAGCTACGAACTGTCCTTAACTCCAGTTCCAGGGGAATCTGAAGCCCTCTTCTGACCTCCCGGCATTGCACGACATGGGTGCACTCACATACATGCAGGCAATACACTGATACATAGAAAATAAAAATAATTTAAAAAAAAAAAAGTGCTTGTCACACAAGCCTGACAAGATGAGTTGTCAGAAACCCATAGTGGAAGGAGAGAAGAGACTCCTGCATGCACCCACACTTACATACACAAGTCATACCCAAATATACACAATAACAATGAATAAAATTTAAATTTAAAAAAATAGCAGGGCATGGTGGCATAAGATTATAATCCTAACATTTGGGAGGCAGAAGCAGGAGGATCAAGAGTTCAAGGAAAGATTCAGCCAGGCATGGTGACTCACGCCTTTAGTCCCAGCACTCAGGAGGCAGAGGCAAGTAGATCTCTGTAAGCTCAAGGCCAGCTAGTGAGTTCCAGGCCAGCTGGGTCTACAGGGAGACCTTGTCACAAAAAGACAAAAAACACCAAAAAAAAAAAAAAAAAAAAAAAAAAAAAAAACCCAGATTCAGCTACATGAGACTCTACCTCAAAAAAAAAAAAAAAGTAATTAAGTTTTAGGGCTAGGGACATAGCTGAGTAGTAGAGCCATTGCCTAACATACACAAAACCCTGGGTTCAATCCTCAGCATAAGAAAAAAAAATGATATCAAACATTTTATGGCATAGGAAAGCCAGCACCCAGAACAAGATAAGCCAAAGAGACCAAAAACTCATGGGTCCTCAGTAACAGATGACAGGTGAGGGTGCCCAACTGCAGATGCAGCCGAAGTCCCAGGCATCAGATATGGAAGATGCAAGTAACTGACTTCTACAGTACAAACTAATCTGCCCCTCTTTTTTTGTTCAAAGATTTATTTTTAGTTTATGTGTATGAGTGTTTTGCCTGCATATGTGTATACTCACAGCATGCATGCCTGTTGCCTGCAGAAGCCAGAAGAGGGCGCTGGATCCTCTGGAATTGGAGTTACAGATGGTTGTGAGTCATGTTGTGCTTGCTGATAACCAAACCCAGATCCTCTACAGAAGCAGCCAGTGCTCTTAACCCAAGCCATTTCTCCAGCCCCCAATCTAATCCTTTTAAGAATCTAACCCTGAAACCAGGTGTAGTGGTTCATGCCTGTAATCCCAGCACCTTTGGGAGATCAGAAGTTGAAGGTCATCTTCTGCTATGGGATACATAAGACTCTGTCTTTAAAAATAAATAGGGGGCTGGAGAGAAGGCTCAGCAGTTAAGAACACTGTTCTTGCAGAAGACCCGGGTTCAAATCCCAGCACCCACATGGCAGCTAACAACTGTCCATAACTCCAGTCCCAGGGGATCTGACAGCCTCTTCTGACCTCCGCAGACATTGCACGACACGGGTGCACTTACCTACATGCAGGCAATACACACATACACATAAAATAAAAATAAAAAATAAAATTAAAATAAATAAATAAATCTAACCAGGTGTGGTGGCGCATGCCTTTAATCCGTGCACTTGGGAGCAGAGGCTAGCGGATCTTTTGATATATCACAGTGAAAGATTTATCGTCCTCTTTTTTTTTTTTTTTTTTTTTTTTTTTTTAAAAAAAAAAAAAAAAAAAAAAAAAAAAAAAACTAACCCTGGCTGGAGATCCAACTCAGTAGAACACTTGTCTAGTAAGCCTTGGGTTTGATGACTGTAGCATCAAAAACAAAAGAGGGCTGGAGAGATGGCTCAGCAGTTAAAAGCACTTTCTGCTCTTCCAGTAGACCCGAGTTCAGGGTTCAGTTTCATTTCCAGGCCCCGCATGGTGGTTCACAACCATATATAAGTCCAGTTCCAGGTGATCCAACACCCTCTTCAGGCCTCCATAGGCACTACACATGGTGCACTTATTACATGCAAGTAAACACTCAAACACATAAAATTAATCTTCAAAAAAAAAAAAAAAATCAAAACTCTTCCCTATTCCCAAATCATTCTGCCTAGCTGATTCTATCCCTTCTTCCCTAACGAAAGAAAAAACAAAAGTAGACTAGCAAGATAGCTCAGAGGAAAAAGTGCCTGCTACAAAGCCCGACAACCTGAATTCAATCCCTGGGACACACATGGTGGAAAGAGAGAACCAACTCCCAAAAGTTATCAATACACACTAAATGTTAAAAAAATTTAAAAAGAAGCTAGGTGTGGTTGTGCACGCCTTTAATCCCAACACGAGAGGCAGGGCTAGGCAGATGTCTGTGAATTCAAGGCTAGCCTGGTGAGTTTGAGGCCATTCAGAGCTATACAGTGAGACTGTCTCAAAAAAAAAAAGGAAAAAAACCAAAACACAACTTTTACAACCAGAACACTTTTACTCCTAAGTTTACAGCAGTTCCCTTTCTTTGGCCACCCCAGGATGGATGGGACAGTCTGCTGATATTCTACCCACTCTTACTGATTATGTTCTGCCACTCTAACCTAGATTCATCTTTCTTTTTTTTTTTTCGGCTTTTTGAGACAGGGTCTCCGTATAGCCCCAGCTGTCCTGGAACTCACAAAGATCTGCCTGCCTCTGCCTCCCAAGTGCTGGGATTAAAGGCGTGCGCTGCCCGCCCAGCTGATCTATCTTCCTTAAACCCCTCAAAACTGATTCCAAGGAAAGGTTCTAAAATTCTATAGATTCAACCCAACTCCCAATTCATTGCCTACCCCTCCCTTCCACCCCTCTTCCCACACAGCCTACAGTGGAAGGTAAAAGAAACACCTTTTCTCCTCCCTGCTGAGGCCATTCATTTGTAACCCATTTCCCTAAACAGTACTTCTGACAGACACTACTCATGTAAAGACCAAAAAAAAAAAAAAATGGGGAAGGAAACACCTCAGGCATCACACCAAGGTGACCAGCCTGGGCTACATGAAACACACAAACACACACACGCGTGCGCACACACACACACACACACACACACACACACACACACACATCCTCTTAATACACACAGAATCCTTCTGGATTGTTATCCCAGACACACACACCCTCTTAATACACACAGAATCCTTCTGGATTGTTATCCCAGGTTTCCCAAGAGAAAAGCAGTCTCATCTTTTCAGAGACCTCTGATGCTAGGTTTCTGAAGCGCTACCTCACATGTTGGGAATCAGTAATCACTGTTTCCTTAACCATTTCCCCCCCTTAAGTTAGTGACTACATCAGGCTACTGCATTGCCCTAGGCACTGACACTGGACCACCAGCCTTACTGGAATTGGTACTCTGTCCACTTCCCTGATCTATGGAGCAGCTCCCTGTTTAGTGGCACTAGGGAAGAACCATCACCACTGGACCTCTCCTGGATGACCACTGGAGTAGCGGAGAGCCAGTCCTGCCACCTGCTTCCACAGCCACACATCCTCTCTTCCTCTTGTCATAGTCCTACCCCATGTCTAAAAGCCTTCACCCAAAGCTTTCACAGCAATGAACATTTCCAGCCAGGTACGGTGGCACACGCCTTTATTCCCACCACTCAGGAGGCAGAGGAAAGTCTAGCTCTGTAATTTCCAGGCCAGCCTAGTTCAATACATAGTGAGTTCCAAGCCAGCCAGGCCTACACAGCGACACACTGTCAAAAATTCAAAAAAGAAAAAGGAAAAACAAAAAAAAAAAAAAAAACAAGAAATGAGGGGCTGGAGAGATGGCTCAGCAGTTGAGAACACTGGTTGTTCTTGCAGAAGACCAACGTTTGAATCCCAGCACCCACATGGTAGCTAATAACTGTAGCTCCAGTCCCAGGGGATCTGACAACCTCTTCTGACCTCCGCAGGCACTGTATGACATGGGTGCACTTACCTACATGCAGGCAATACACACATACACATAAAATAATAAAATTAAAAAAAAAAAAACAAGCCAGGTATGGTGGCATATGCCTTTAATACCAGCACTTGGGAGGCAGGTGGATCTCTGTGAGTTCAAGGCCAGCCTGGTCTACATAGTGAGTTCCAGGACAGCTGGGGCTACAGGGAGACCCTGTCTCAAAGAGACAAAAAAAAAAAAAAACCATTTCCAAACTATGACAGACTCATCTGAGTCAAGGACAACTAACTTCCTAAGAGTACAAGCACCCTTAGTGGGCCTCCTTGCCCCTTCAAAATTCTATGCCAAATGGATAGTATTTTCTAGGCCTGGGGTGCTACTCTTGAGTCAGAAGACAATCTCTTTCCTAGATAGACAAATCATGCAGGGAACAATCAGCTATGAGACTGAGAAAACACTAAACCCAGAAACCCAAGACAGACATCAATATATATGATCATCTAGTCAGAAACATTAGAGACAAATTAGAAAAAATTTATTTTAAGGAAAATCACATTTTTTAGAGGACAAATAGAAGCCAGGCATGCTCATACAGGATTATAATCTCAGGAACCAGGAGGCAGAGGCAGGAGGACCAAGTTCAAGGCCAACTTGGGCTACATAGCAAAACCCTGGCTGCCTCCCCCACAACCCCAACCCCCGACTCCCTGCAACAAATGAGGGAGAAGCAAGAGTCTGAAAAAATAAACTTTAATTTAAAAAATCATGTACACAACTTCAGATTCATTTTAAGCTCCCCTGCTTGGGTCTTTTACAGACAAGTAAGTTTTCCACTGAATTCAGACAAACTGAAGATGAATCCACAATGGGCAGAGAGCCCAGTCCCTTTCACAGGAAAACGCCACCAACTTCTACTTAGACTTGAACAATGTCTATGACTTTTGAGTGACTAAGGAGTGAAGCCAGATTCCAGGAGGTTCAAAATGCTAGTTTCTTCATCAGTAGATAAACTCTGGAATCCACCTCAAATCCATGCAGGTTGTTGGCATCACCCTGAAGCCTCATGAGCAGGCCTCCATAGGACACATATGCAGAGCTGAAACAGAAAGCCCCATCCTAAGTCTGAAGCAGCTGCTACCCCAGCAGCTCTCCATCCATAAGAAAAGGAGACACTCTGTCATAAGGAACCAAGATCAGGACAAAGCTAAATCTATAGACACATGCAAAGCAGGGTTCTTTATACTAGTGACTGTGGAAAACACCAATATGCCCAAAACTGGGGGAATAGTCAAATAAATCAAGGTATATCCACTTACTGGAATTTTATACCTCTTCTGACCTCTGTGGGCACTGCACGACACAGGTGCACTTACATGCATGCATGCAACACACTCACACATGAAAATGAAACAATTTAAAAAATACTATTTTACTTATTTTAACTTTTATATATGACTGTATTGTCTGCATGCATGTAAGTGCACCCATGTTGTGCAATGCCCACGGAGGTCAGAAGAGGGTGTCAAATCCCCTGGAACTGGAGTTATGGACAGTTGTTAGCTGCCATGTAGGTGCTGGGAACTGAACCTGGGTCCTCTGCAAGAGCAGTCAGTGCTCTTAACTGCTCACCCATCTCCAGCTCCTTAAAAAATATTTTATGGGTGGAGAGATGACGCCTACACACATGCAGAAAATATACTCATACACATGGAATTAAAAATAAATAGCTGGGAGTGGTGGCACAGGCCTTTAATCCCAGCACTTGGGAGGCAGAGGCAGGGGGGTCTTTTTGAGGTGGGGGGCAGCTCGGGTCCAAAAAGGAGGATCAAGGAAAACTTGGGTCCACAGCAAGCCACACCTCAAAAAAAAAACAAAAAAAAAAACTTTTTTTTTTTTTTTTAAATAAAAAATAAGGCTGGGTGTGGTGGTGTATGCCTTTAATCCAGCACTTGAAAGGCAGAGGCAGGCAGACCTTTTTCAGTTCGAGGCCAGCCTGGTCTACACAGCAAGTTCCCAGACAGCTGGGGTTACAGGGAGACCGCCTCAAAAGACAAAAAAAAAAAAGCTAACCTGAATATTCTTTACATGTGTTAGACAAAAAGAAAACAATGTAATTTTAATGGGATCTTTTTTATTTTTTCAAAGGTCTTACTATGTGGCTCTGGCTAGACTGGAACTCTCTATATAGACCAGGCTAGCTTTGAACTCGGATTTCAACCTGCCTCTGCCTCCCATTACATAGCAAGATACCAATTTCTCATCTGGACGACTGAGCCTTGAAATCTTGTCAACATGCAATGTAAGCTACCAGCACTTCAGACTGGAAACTGTTGCCAAAATAAATCCTAGGTTCTACCTAGATTTGAGGTGCTTGAAATGAGACTTAACACAGGAAATAATAGCATGGCCCAAATACCCAGAATAGCGAGAGGAAAAGGATTTTCACCAGACTATGGAACTTACAGGCGTGTTGCTGCTTCAGTAGACGTTTCATCCCCCTCAATCCTGTACACTTTCCCATACATTACATACTCAAACTGGTCAGCCCTATGGAACAACAGAGACAAAATTATTCTTCATAGTAATTAACAGTACAAGAGGCATTTAAAAATGTCAACTGGGGCTGGAGAGCTAGCTCAGCAGTTAAGAGTACTGGCTTTTCTTGCAGAGGACCCAGGTTCAATTCCCAGCACCCACATGGCGGCTAACAATCATGTGTAACTCCAGTTCCATGGGATCTAATGCCCTCTCTGACCTCCACTGGCACTTGGAAATGGGTACACTTACGCACACACAGGCAATACACTCACACACATAAAATAAAAATAACAAAATATTTTTAAAAATAGTAACTGTTGGGGCTGGAGATGGTTCAGTGGTTAAGAACACTGGATGTTCTTGCAGAAGATCCGGGTTCAAATCCCAACATCCAATGGCAGCTAACAACTGTCTGTAACTCCAGTCTCAGAGGATCCGACGGCCTCTTCTGTCCTCTATGGACATTGCACAACACGGGTGCACTTACCTACATGCAGGCAATATACTCATACACATAAAATAATAAATAAAATATTTTTTAAAAAATAACAACTGTTGGTAACATTAACACTTTTGTTTTATTTCTTTTTATTTTATGTGTATAACTGTTTTGGCCTGCAGGTATGTAAATGCACCTGTGTCATGCAATGCCCAAAGAGACCAAAAGAGGACAATGGGTCCCCTGGAACTGGAGGTATGGAAGGTTGTTAGCCACCATGTAAGTTCTGGGAACCGAACCCAGGTCCTCTGCAAGTGCAGCCAGTATTCTTAAACTCTGAACCATCTCTCCAGTCCCACAATTGGTAACTTTTAATCACCAGCGTTGTAACAAGAAGTGTCTTAGAAGCATGACATTATTTAATTCTCCCGGAAATTCTGTAAGCTAGACCTGACCATCTCTATTTTACTGATGAAGAAATGGGTAGAGGCTGGAGAGATGGCTCAGCTTTTCAGAGCACTTGTTATTCTTGCAGAGGACCCGAGTTTGGTTCCAGTACTCTCATGGCAGCTCATAACCATCTGTAACTACTCCAGTTCCAGGGAATGTGACAGTCTTCTGCACACATATGGTGCTCATACCTACATGAAGACAAAACACTCATACACATGAAAATCTAAAAAATAATAAATAAGCCAGGTGTGGTGGCATATGCCTTTAGTCCCAGCACTCGGGAGGCAGAGGCAGGCAGAGCTCTGTGAGTTCAAGGCCAGCCTGGTCTACACAGTGAGTTCCAGGACAGCTGGTGCTACAGGGAGACCCCCATCTCAAAATAATAATAAAACAAAGTCTTTTTTATTATTATTTTTATTTTTGTATGAGTGTATTGCCTGCATGTAAGTACATCTGTGTCATGTAATGCCCACAGATGTCAGAAGACAGCACTGGATTCCCCTGGAACTGGAGTTAAGAATGGTTGTTAGCCACCATGTAGGTGCTGGGAATCAAACCCCAGTCCTCTGCAAGAACAGTCAGTGCTCTTAATTGCTGAGTCATCTCTCCAGCCCCATAAATAAAATCTTTTTTTTTTTTTTTTTTAAAGAAGAAAATGGTAGAGCTCCACAACCTTTCCATCACACCAAGCTCCTCCCAAGATCAAGGTCACTCAGCCTTTAAAAAGCTCTGTCTCAGCCAAGGTGATGGCATAGGCCTTTAATCCCAGCACTCAGGAGGCAGAGGCAGGTGGATCTCTGTGAGATCAAGGCCAGCCTGGTCTACATAGTGAGTTCCAGGACAGCTGGGGCTATGAGGAGACCCTGTCTCAAAAAGACCAAAAAAAAAAAAGCCAAAAAAACCTCTATCTCACAAGCTTATAATCACTGCTCTCAATACATTTAATAAAACTGTTTTACCGATGGGATCTCATATAGCCTATGCTGGCCTCAAATTCAATCTGAAACCAAGGATCACCTTGAACTCAGGATCCTCCAGGCTCAACTCCTGAGTGCTGGGATTACAGAGCACAACCACACCGTTTTTTGGGATCTCTGTCCCTGCAGCATTGTTTTTTGTTTTTGTTTGGTCTTTTTGAGACAGGGTCTCCCTGTAGCCCCAGCTGTCCTGGAACTCACTATGTAGACCAGGCTGGCCTTGAACTCAGAGATCCACCTGCCTCTGCCTCCCAAGTGCTGGGATTAAAGGAGTGAGCTGTTTGTTGAGTGCATCAATTTCCTTACAGTTACTCAGATTCTGCTAACGACCATTTATTCGTGGAATTAAATAAAGACCTTTCTATCTATATACCCTCCTGTACTTTATCACCTGGAAGGCCTGTCATCTGTGGGATTGTATTCACCATCATCCAGGGTGCCATCTTCATACAAGGTACTAGCTATGACCAATCGGAACTTGTCACCTATAGAAAACAATAATAGCTCAGAGTGAGTAGCTGAAACCAAAAGACCAAAAACCTCTTGGTTTGCCTGTGTTCAATACTTACCTAAGTCTACAGGGTAAATCTGGATGTTTACATCTAAGATGAGGTCCATTTTGAAAGATTCACTCTCACAATGCAGCCGAGATACTGAGGAGTGACAGACAAAATTACCCACCCAGAGCAAAGCCTATAGATCCCAGTTTGGGGATTACATCAAAGAGAACATTCCATCTAACACAGCCAGTACTCACCAGCCTCTCTCTTGCTTTCAAGGGTACAGAATCAAATATGCAAGAAGGAAAAAGGCAAAAACTATATCCAGTGAACCTGCTGACAGCAAATAGTACCTAAGTTCGACTAGATGATTTAGATTACAACTGGACTCTGGACAAATTCATTTGTCCAAAGGTTTCCTCTTCCTATGCTAGGCACTGTCCTGAGGGAATTATCAGAATGGGTAAGAACTGAGCCTGTCTTGCCAGGAGTGGTGGCACCCCTTTAATCCCAGAACTTGGGAGGCAGAGGCAGGCAGATCTCTGAGTTCAAGGCCAGCCTGGTCTACATAGTGAGTTCCAGGCCACCTGAGACTACAGGGAGACCCTGTCTCAAAAAGACCCAAAAAAAAAAAGAAAAAAAAAAAGAACTGAGCCGGTCTTAAAAAAGAAAAAAAGCCTCCAAACAGAGGAGTTACAATTACCGATCATGGGCAAAATAAGAGTATACCAAGTAGTTCAAATTCAGAAAGGACTTCTCAAAGAGCTAACAAGTTTTAGAGCAATAGGAAATCAAAAATTACGAAATCAGATAGCTCTCTGCCTGGCCTTAGGTAACAGCATGGGGAAGACACCATCTACCTCGAAGCACAACGTGTGCGAGACAGGCTCACAAGACAGTACCTAATACAAATAAGTTACTGATTACAAAGATGCCGTTTGCTAAAACCATGGCTAAGGGCCACCCAAGTCCCAGGCACCGCATGTACAACAGGGGAAGCTAGGTCTCAAGTTTCTCACTCGAGAGAAAAACCTTCTTCCAGAGGGGCGTACGTAGAGGGTGGGCCGGGCCACTCAAGTAGGGGGGCAGGCTGGCCTCTTTCCTCATTCCGCCCCCACATACCTTACCCCGGTCAAATTTCTTGCCCTCTGGGTCAATGTCTTTCACATCAAAAATGTCTTCAAACAAGATGCCCGCCATCGCGAGGGGCACGAACGCTGCAGAGGTGCAGGGCGCGCGGCCACCACTGGGACTCGCGCACCCCCTCACGCGGAGAAAAGACAGGAAGAAAGTACCGCCCAGAAAGCCTCAAAAAGGAGAGTGGCGCACGCGCACAGGCTCTCAGCAGCAGGGCGACTTCCGCTCCCTCGCTCTCCCGGCTTCTGAACTTCCGCCGGGAAAGGGTACGTTGTAGCAGTTCCGGACTCGTGGGCGAGCTTCAGCAGCACTTGACTCCGCCCCAGGCGGGGACGCTGCGGGCCCCACCTCCGGCCGTGGTACCCGCCGCGGCGCTCTGGCTCCACGGCGCCCTCTTCAGAGTGGGATCCCGCGGTGGAATGCTCGGAGGCCTAACCCCGGCAGGAACCTTGATCCTTGGCCCAGAGCAGCCCGGCCCTTCCCTGTGGTCCCCGTGCGGCCAACGGCACAGTCCGCGCCCGAGGCGGGTGGAGCAGAGCCCCGCCTGCACAATGCCGGCCAAGCAGGCGTAGAGCCCAGTCCCTCGGGCTGGTACCAAGGCCCCCCCACGCTGGCCGGAGCCGGCTCGGCCCAGCCAGACGTCAGTGCAGCCGGATCCGTCCAGTATGGGAATTTGCCATGATGTCACTCTGGGGAAGAGGAAAGCCTGAGTTGTCCCCTTCCCTGGTGCTTCCTCACCACCCTCGTCTTCCCTTGGCCCCGCTTGGCACTTCAGGTTGGCATTAACCTCGCACTGTGATCCCCTAGAACACCGCCAGTTGAACTTGGTACTGGCTGTCACCCCACCACCACCATGTTCTGGACGCTGGTCTAGTGTGCTTTCACCTGACTGGCTACTCCTTTGTAGTGCCCCTTCCTGGTGCTAACTCCTCACACAACCCCTTTCTGGACACTGCCCCTTTGAGCACCCTCTGCTTCCTGAATGAGCTTTCATCCCGATACTCCCCTTCCTACACAGTTGTATGGGCACTGTCCTCTTCCGTAGACCAACTCTAGCACTGCCCATCCACTTGGTGTCCACACCAGTCTCTCCAAGGACCGTGATAGAGGACCCGGGGCCCCAGCAGGCCGTTACCCCAAGGCGTGAGCAGCTACTCAGGTTTCCCCTTAAGCCGTGCCAGGGAACAGCGACCTCTGCTCTCCCCACGCCCGCCTCCCAGGAACTGCCTCCCCGGCACCAATTGCTCCCTTGCCTCCGGCCTCACCTCTTCCCGTCCCCTCCCACCTCCACCTCCGCCCACCTCGCGGGCCTGGTAGTCCAGGTGCACCTACCCAGAGGAACGAAAGTAGGAGAGGAGACGGGTGGCTTTGAGTGTCCCCTAGCCTGGCTTCTCAGCCCTAACACGGCAGAGGGACCCTCCAGACCCGTCTGAGCCTCCCGTTCCTCCCCTCCTGAGTTAGGAAACCCAGCAGCCCCCAGCCTCAAGCCTTACTGAATGGCTCCATCTCCAGCCCTAGCCTCACAGCGCACGCAGCCGCCCGAGCCCAGCCCCTCCACGTGCCAGCAGACCCGCCCTCGCCCCAGCTCCCGGGTAGCCCCATCAAGCCCCGCCAGCCTCGGGCCTCCAGGGCGAAGGGGTGCAGCATCTCGCGTTCCAGGCGCCCCCTGCCGCCGCTCCCGGGTCCAGGAGGCGGCCCCAGTACAGACCCCAGGCGGGCTGGGCTGGTCCCCGCGTAGGGGCCAGGGCGGAGCCACACGCGGGGCACCGCCCTCGGCCCGCCCGCGGAGGAGGGAAGGCGAGCGGGAGGCTGAGCCTGCGGCGCCGGCCGGAGACCCGCCGCACTCCGCACTCGGCCGCCAGGGCTGCGGGGACCCCGACCGGTGCGGGCACGGGTTCTGCCAGCCAAATCAAGGCTGGAGCCTGAACGGCAAAGGGAAGCGAGAGGGCAGTGCATCGAGATGGCGGCCTCGGCGGCTGGGACAGCGGAGGAAGGGATGGAGCCTCGGGCACTGCAGTATGAGCAGACCCTGGTAAGTGAAGCCTTTCCTGGACCTAAGGGGTGCGCTCTGAGCACCGCTACTCCCAGGGTTGCCCGACAAGTGTGAAGACCCGCGGCCTACCCTAGCCGCACCTCAGCCTTCCTCAGGTGGGGAAACTGAGGCTTGAGAGGCTACACGGCAGGATGTTGCAAAGCTGTTTGCTGGTTTGGGGGGAGGGGGGTTTGCAAAGGACAATGACACCAGGTGCTTGGCCCAGGTAACCTTCCCCTTGCTTTCCGCAGCATACACTTTATTTTTTTGCTTCTCCGCTCACCACCCGAGCCCAAGTTACAGCACCCCAGTACCCTTTCCTACCTCCATCCACACCTTTGAACTTTCTCTACACACCTACTTACATTCAACACCTTCCCTGAGTTCCTGTCATGTGCATGGCACTAAGCTGGGCACCAAGAGTGAGGCAAGTGATCAAATCCAATCCTACCACCTTTAAAAGCTCAAAACCCAGCATAGAAAAGAACCTCTCAGTCAAAGACTTGGAAAAGGTGGCCTGCCACCCTAGGGATAGAAGCTTTAGGAATGATGGGTGAGGCAGGAATGGGTGTGAGAATTGGGACCTTTGTTCATGCTGCACCTGAATAGGTACCCCCCACACACACACAAGCAAGGGTACGTGCACACACACACACACACACACACACACACACACAAAACCTCTTAGGAGTGTCCCTTGACCTCATTAGAAGCAAGGGTCCTCAGCTTTGAGCTGACTCATGGTTACCACTGTTACCTGGTATTTGAGAAGCCATTTCACCTTCTTATGTCACTGGGGTGGGGGGCCCAAGCCCTAAGAAAAGAAACTGGCCCTATGGCTCTTTTTTTTTTTTTTTTTTTTTTTTTTTTTTAATCAGCCTAGGCTGGAATTTGCCCGGGAGGGTGGCAGGGAGGAACCTCTCTAAGGAGAGGACTTGGGCTGTAACTGAGTCAGGGAGGTGCCCAATTACCTGAGAGAGACTGTATGAAGCAGGATGACTGGGAGGGGTGCAGGTATGAAAGTAGAGTGACATTAATGGGAGCAAGCCCTTTCATGGGAGATAGCTAATCATTCTTGTCTTCGAGGCCAACTAGAAGGGCACTGGCATGGAAGCCAGACACCTAGCCTCTGAAATGGTATCTTCGTTGCACCAGCTGCTTCTCCATCTCTCTCGTGTCTGTGGAGAGTTCTCAGGGTCAAGCTCTTTCTCTGCTCTGGCCTCTCCCACTTCCCCTCCTACCCTTTTGTTTTGTCCTCACCTCCTCCCACTCACTGTATACTCCACTTTCTTCCTCCTCCCTGCCCCTGCCGTGCTCATCTTTACTCTGTTGCTTTTCCTTCACTCTTTTCTCCCTCTCTCCTCTGTAGTTCCTCTCCCTCTGCTTCTCCCTTTCCTCTATCTTTCACACTCTCTGTCTCTATCTTTCCCTGCCCCCCCCAAGCCCCAACAGGAGCCCATTGTGTCCCAAAGCTCTGCGGGTGGCAGCCGGAATCTACTCCCCACCCCACAACACACGCCCAGCTTGGCAGGTCTAGCCATAACTCTCCCTTCCCATCACCCCCAGCATCCACAGTCACAGCCTAGCCATCCATAGCCTCTGCTGTCCCCAAGACCTGCCACACCAGCTTCAAGGGCAGCTCCAGAGTGGAACTGAGGCCACCAAGCATTCCCTATGTACCCAAAGAGGTTCTCCACTCCTAGCTGGGCTAACCAGGCTAATGGGGGTTTAGGAGTAGAGAATGGGGACAAGGGGATTAGGGTGGGTAGGAAGGGTGCAGCCGAGTTGGCTACAGGCCAGAGGCCCAGCAGGAACGTGATAAGGATTGGGGCCATGTCTGCCCTAGGCCCAGCTCAGCTGCCCTCAGCTCTACCAGGCTCTTTTTGTTGCTCATATGCCCTTGACCATCCTTTACTCTCTGACCTTCCCTCCTCCCACTTTCAGACTGTGCCTGAGATTTTTCCATCTTTTCCCTCCTCTGGGGTCTTCCCTCCTACTCCTCCCCAGGGCCTTCACCCATGGCTTTTGAGAAGAGGACTGATTATTCTGCCACCCCCAGATGTGTGTCCCTCCCTGTACCTTGTCAGTCCCCATCACTCTGGCCAGGACAGCCCCCACACAGTCTGCAATGTGCATTGTTCCCACACTCTGTACCTAGTGGGAACTATGGATTCAAAATGGGGTATAAAGTATGGGAACTGGGGTGAAGGGGAATCAAACTCCAGAAAAATCCCCCTGTATCACCATCTCAACCCCTCATGCTAATGCCCACATCTTGTCCATTGCTCCAGATGTATGGCCGATATACTCAGGAACTTGGGGCCTTTGCCAAAGAGGAAGCTGCTCGGATTCGCCTGGGAGGGCCTGAGCCTTGGAAGGGGCCTCCTTCTCCTCGGGCTCCTCCAGAACTCCTGGAATATGGACAGAGCCCATGTGCCAGATGCCGCAGTGAGATCTGGGTTGGGGCAGGGATCTGGGCTGTGCTGTATTGAAGAAGGCAGAGTCCATTAAAGCTGCCCATGGGGGAAGGGAGGAGACAGAAAACAGGGTAGGAACACTTTGGTGCCAGCCTCTCCATGGATCTTCCCTTCCCTGCTCCCAGTCTGTTCTGTACGCTGCCACAAGTTCCTAGTGTCCAGGGTTGGCGAAGACTGGATTTTCCTGGTCCTGTTGGGGCTCCTCATGGCATTGGTCAGCTGGGCCATGGACTATGCCATCGCTGTCTGTCTACAGGGTGAGGGCAAGGGCTGGGGAGGGCCAAGCTGCTTCCTCTGTGACAAAGTTGTTTGGGTAACTTTCTCAGACTAGTCTGACTTTCCTTCACCAGGCAGAATTACTGCTACTTTCATAAGCCACACCTTGCCTCCCCTCTCCAACTGATCTTCTTACTGGTACTGGGCTTTGTCCCAGTGAATGCCTTCTAGGGCCCTCTATTCCCTCTGTGCTTTAGTTCTCTGTACTTGTCATATCAGTGTGTCCCTGTGGCTAAGCCGGGGTGTGCACTGGGAATCCAGCAACATGTCCTCTCCCCACAGCTCAGCAGTGGATGTCCCGGGGCTTGAACACCAACATCTTACTCCAGTACTTGGCCTGGGTTACCTACCCTGTCGTCCTCATCACTTTCTCTGCTGGATTTACCCAGATCCTGGCCCCTCAGGCTGTTGGTAGGATAGAAGAGCAGGGGTGGTGGTGATGGTAATCAAGCTTCCTGAACAGGATATATCAAATGACACTCCTGGGTATGTACCCCTGCAGGGTCTGGCATCCCCGAGATGAAAACCATCCTTCGGGGAGTGGTGCTGAAAGAATACCTCACCCTCAAGACCTTCGTAGCAAAGGTCATTGGGCTAACCTGTGCCCTGGGCAGTGGGATGCCCCTTGGCAAAGAGGTAACTGAAGTTTGGGCAATGGAGGAGTCCTTCCCAGTGGAGGAAGAGGCCGGGCTAAGGTCAGGGAAACCCCTTCCCCACTTACTACCAACCCCTACCTCCAGGGCCCTTTTGTGCACATCGCCAGTATGTGTGCCGCCCTTCTCAGCAAGTTCCTTTCCCTTTTTGGGGGTATCTATGAGGTAAGAAGAGAACTCCGGAGGCCTGGGGGAGGAAAGGGTGAGCTGTTGAGCTCAAACCAATACTGTGTCCCCACTCTTGCTAGAACGAATCCCGGAACACAGAGATGCTAGCTGCTGCTTGTGCAGTGGGAGTGGGCTGCTGCTTTGCAGCACCTATTGGAGGTAGGCGTTGCTCATCAGTGCAGCCCAGCCCTTTCTTGGCCTTTCCTCTTCAGCCTCTCTCCTCTGGGAGTAAGTCCATACACCAAGCCCTGGCCTCAAGGGCGATGTCCTCTGCCCCTTGCAGGGGTCCTATTCAGCATTGAGGTCACCTCCACCTTCTTCGCTGTTAGGAACTACTGGCGAGGCTTCTTTGCGGCCACCTTCAGTGCCTTCATCTTTCGGGTCTTGGCAGTCTGGAATCATGATGAAGGTGGGGGCAGCTAGGGGATGAGGGCATCTAGGATAATTCAAGTAGGACCCACAAAGTTAGACCTGCCTCCCTGTTACTCTTCCCTTTAGAAACCATTACTGCTCTCTTCAAAACCCGGTTCCGACTTGACTTCCCCTTTGACCTGCAGGAGCTGCCAGCCTTTGCTGTCATTGGGTGAGGGGCTGAGGGGAGGATGTTGGGCAGGAGGGAGGTTTCCATGAGATGACCTCCCCTCTACCCTGGTACCTCTTCCCTCTCCAGTATTGCTAGTGGCTTCGGGGGAGCCCTCTTTGTCTACCTGAACAGGAAGATTGTCCAGGTTATGCGGAAGCAAAAAACCATCAATCGCTTCCTCATGAGGAAGTGAGTGACTTTTCCAGGCTGCTGTGGGTTATATAAGGGCCATATGGGGGAGGGGGACACTAAGGGATGGGGTAGTGGCCCAGCCAAAAGTAGGCATTTCAGCCAGATATAGTAGCACACACCTGTAATCCCAGCACTCCAAAGGCTGAGGTAGGAGGATTGTAGCAAATTCTAGGCCAGCCTCTGCTTTCAAAAAGATAGGGGCAGCTATGCCACCAAAAAATCAGCCAATAATGTTTTCAAGCTCACCAACATTATGGCATGTTTGTGTGCTCCCTGAGAATTGTGACTTTTGAACTTCAGTCAGTGGCAGTAGGCATTTGCAATGAAAGACTAAGGCTTTCTTGAGTCTTCTGACCTGGTGCAGATAGCAATGCTCCTGTGGAGAGTGTCTGCACCTTAGTTCACCCCTTAACCAGTAGGGATGGATGGGATAGTAATCTCCAGAACACAGCTCCTACAGTTGTGACCCTAAGAATTAGGGGTGGGAAGGCACCTGGAAGTGGGAAGCCAATTGAACCTGCTCCTTACAGCACCTCTGCTCAACTTCATGAGTGACCCCACACTCTGTGTTGCCACAGAGAGGGAGACTAGTGACAGAACCATCTCTACAACCTCATGCCATTTAACCTTCACCTTTTGAGGGTAGAGACTGTCATAGTTCACAGGTGTCCAAGAGAGGCCTAGAGATGGGTTTGCTGTTGCTGCCCACTTGTGGAATCAGGCAAGGACCCCTCCACCCCCAGCTTGTACAGTAATCCTGGCCCACCACCACCCTTGGAGCTGCTGTGTCATAAACAGCAAAAGGAAGCTATTCTTAGCACTGTGTGCTTTCATGTATGAGCCAGGTTCTGCTCTGACTTTATCCCTGAGATTGTGGGAGAACCTGGCCCATGTTTAGGCCATAGGTGTGGTGTGTCACCCATGTCTGATGCTGTGAAACCTCTGTCTAGACGTCTGCTCTTCCCAGCCCTGGTGACCCTGCTTATCTCCACTCTGACCTTCCCACCTGGCTTTGGACAGTTCATGGCTGGACAGGTAGCTCCCATCAGAACCATGACCTTTCCCCTTAAATGAATTCCTTCTCCAAAGCCAGCAGCCCCATCATAACTGGGAGCTCTTATTCCCATGGACTCCTACGGGTCCTTTCCCAGAGTCTTTTCTGTACCCCAGCCTGAGGGCACTCTGTCCAACCTAGCTCTCTGTCCAACCTAGCTCTCACAGAAAGAGACCCTAGTCACCCTGTTTGACAACCGGACATGGGTCCACCAGGGCCTGGTAGAAGATCTAGAACTACCCAGCACTTCACAGGCCTGGAGCCCACCACGTGCCAATGTCTTCCTCACTCTGGTCATCTTCATTCTCATGAAGGTGAGACTCTTTACGTAGCTTTATACCACTAACATTTACCCAGGCCACTAGCTGCAGGTGCTGTCCTCAGCACCATGTATTAGCCCTCTATGAGCTTCACAAAATACTATGAAAAAAATACTCAACCCTGTTTTAACACAGAGAAGCAACTGGCCCAAAGCCACACCACTTGGTGGGTGGGGTGTGAGGATTTGAACCTAAGCCATCTGGTTCTAGAGTCCTTTCTCTTACTTTAACCTCTGAGGAGCCTAGGATAGCTACCAGATAAGTATAGTGGGCTCCCTGTGGTGGGAAGCCTCTGTTTTGAACCCATCCTGCATACAGTTCTGGATGTCTGCACTGGCCACCACCATTCCAGTGCCCTGTGGTGCCTTCATGCCTGTCTTTGTCATTGGTGAGTCTGCAGCTGCCTATCCTTCCCCCTGCATCCTTCCCACCCACTGGCAACCCCTTTATATCCCTTCTCTGCCCAAGAGTGGGTTTTGGCCCAACTTTAGCCCAAACTCCTATTCCCACAGGGCTGCCCCCTATACTGAGTGAGTGACCCTCTGGTCCCTCCCCCACCCTCTGACCCTCTCTCTTCCTAGTGCCCTCCCACTACCTCTTTCTCTTCCTAAAACCCTCCCTGAAGGAGCAGCATTTGGGCGTCTGGTGGGTGAAAGTATGGCTGCCTGGTTCCCAGATGGGATTCACACAGATAGCAGCACCTACAGGATTGTACCTGGTGGCTACGCAGTGGTCGGTGAGCACTCAGTTGTTTGCTTTGTGGTGGGTGCTGGGGATTAAACCCAGGGTATTGCACATGCTAGGCAAGTACTCCCAGCAGTGCTTCCAATCTGCATTTGCACTGGGAGACCACTGGCCCCGCCAGAGTCTGAAGCTCTGGTGCCCCCTGCTGGCAAGTGCATAGCGCCCACCCCATCCACTGTATGGGATAGCCTTGAGGGACTCCCAGAGACCCTTGCCTGGAGGGGAGGGAGGCCTGGGCATCCTGAGGAGACTGAGAGTGGCTGTTCCCAGGGGCAGCTGCGCTTGCAGGAGCAGTGACACACACAGTGTCCACAGCCGTGATTGTCTTCGAGCTCACGGGTCAGATCGCCCACATTCTGCCTGTCATGATTGCTGTCATCCTGGCCAATGCTGTTGCCCAGAGCCTGCAGCCCTCCCTCTATGACAGCATCATCCGCATCAAGAAGCTGCCCTACCTGCCTGAGCTGGGCTGGGGCCGCCACCAGTATGGAGGGCCTGGTGCAAAGAGGGTGGGAATGAGGGGTGGCCTCCCAAGACCCCTCACCCCCACCTCCAGCAAGGTCCTGAAGCAATGAGGCTGGGATCCTAGCCACTTTGCTCTGGATCAGAACTGCCCTGTCCTTGAGGGCTCTGTAGCTGGCCTCCACTGAGCCAGAATTGTGGGGAACACGAATTGTCCATGGGCCCTCAATTCCTGTCCCCTAGGGCTCTCCAGCCTTCTTATTGGCACTGGGATGTATACTCTAGGCTACTCTTCCTGCTGACCACACACTGAATCTCCTACTCTGCCCCCAGGCAGTACCGGGTTCGAGTAGAGGACATCATGGTGCGGGATGTGCCCCATGTAGCCCTCAGCTGCACCTTCCGGGACCTGCGGTTGGCACTGCACAGGACCAAGGGCCGTATGCTGGCCCTCGTAGAGTCCCCTGGTGAGGCCAAGAAGGGTCCCTGGTGCTATGGGCATCTCCCAGGGACATGCTCAAGGAGTAGGGAGGCCAGAACCAATCTCCTTGTTACAAAGGGTGTGGGTCAACACTTGAAGGCAAGAGTTTGCTTTAGGTGTGCAGCCTGTGTTCAGGGCCCCACTCAGAACATAACAGAAGGCCACAGGTAGGAAGGCCTCACTCCCAGCTCCTGAGACCTCTCTTGCTCTGTCCAGAGTCCATGATCCTGCTAGGCTCCATCGAACGCTCACAGGTGGTGGCATTATTGGGGGCCCAGCTAAGCTCAGTGCGACGGCGGCAGCACATGCAAGAGCGAAGAAAGGCCCAGTCATCACCATCAAATCAGGAGAGGCCCCCTAGCCCTGAGTCTTCTGTCCACTTCCAGGTAAAGGGAAAAACTTCACATACTTCTGAAAGCGTCATTCTAGAGTAGTAGAGAACTACTAGAAAGTGGTCCTGAACCACAGCCTACCAGTCCCTTCCTACCAATGCAGGTGAACACAGAGGACTCAGGTTTCTCTGGGTCCCGTGGACAGACTCACAAGCCCCTGAAGCCTGCTCTCAAGAGGGGGCACAGCAACACCACAAGCCTCCAAGAGAGTCCAACAGGTGAGCCCATTTCTGTTCCATGTCAAAGCCTGAGCCAGGCCACTGCAGCTGGATGAGGGTACCCAGGTGGACCAGGGTAGAGCTGGAAACCTTTGCCTTCCCTACCTTACCCTCTCTGGGCCTTGTGTTTGAAAACACAGGCAACATGGAATCAGCAGGCATCGCCCTCAGAAGCCTCTTCTGTGGCAGTCCACCTCTGGAGGCTACTTCAGAGGTGTGTAGCTGGAACCTCCACCTCCTGCCCGCTTCACCAGCTCCCCTTCCCTCCTACTTAAGCCTGCAGTGCCTCCCCACTCTACCTGCTTCCAGCTCTCCTGTCAGCTCTACCCCTACAGTGTGCCCTTCCTGGGCTCCATCCAGTCTGTCATCTCCCCTCTCCCTGTAACCTCAACTCCTCTCTGCTTTGGCTCTGAGGAAGTTGGAAAAGTCAGAATCCTGTGAAAAGCGCAAGCTGAAGCGGGTCCGAATCTCCCTGGCGGTATGTGTGCCCCTCTCCCTGCAGCTTGGGAGCAGCAGGCAGGGAGGGCCAGGGTCTAGGCTGTGGCCCTAGAGCCAGGAGCACATCCACCTCCCTTTCTTCCTCCCTCTTAGAGTGACTCAGACCTGGAAGGCGAGATGAGCCCTCAGGAGGTAAGGTGCCACTGGATTCTGGACTGTTTCCTTCTTGGATGTGCTATCATCCTCTTGGCTAGTGGAAAGGACCACAGGGAGGAAAAAGGGCAGGCCAGCCTTCAGGGAGGTGAAGAAGCTTTAGGCTCCTTCTCTCTAATCCTTAGTTTCTTCCTCTCAGATCTTGGAGTGGGAAGAACAGCAACTAGATGAGCCTGTCAATTTCAGTGACTGCAAAATTGATCCTGCCCCCTTCCAGCTGGTAGAGCGGACCTCTTTGCATAAGGTAGGACCTGCAGCCTGGTCCAAGGCAGGGAAGGGATCTGATCATCTCCTGCCCAAGTTTAGACTCAGAAGACTTGTGTGGTAGGAAGGAGTGGGAGACAATAGACTCGTGCTGTTTTTATAAAAACATTGCTTTGGATGATGGGAGGCTATGAACCAGGGCCCCTAGCTCAACCCCCTCTGTGGTCAAGCCAGACATTATTTTTCCTCTGCTCAACCTCACCCCTAGGGAATTCTTGACCAAAGCAGCAACAAAGACAGGACTTGAAGTAGGTAGAAGCCAGAAGGCCAGGCCAGGGTCAGAGCTAGGCAAGAGGCTGCCAGAGCCCAGGGTTGATACAACCATGCTGGGGGGAAAATAAGAGATGAGAAACAGGCCAGATAAGAAAATCTAATGAACAAGCTAACAGCCAAGAAAGGGTGAGGAAACTGCAGTGAAGAGATAAACAAAGATGAGAGACACCAGTAGGGGGCTTGGAATGTCAGGCCCCAGTGGGTCAAATGAAAACTAGTAAAGATTTAGGATGATCGCTCAGGGGACAAAACAGCCTGGAGAAACTGGGAGGAATTGAGTCCAGACAGAGGGGGACTGATGGGGTGCACACATGAAGGCAGGGGCTCCCAAAGATGGGGTGGCTGGCACCACTGGGTACCTGCACGCTGCCAGACAAAGACAGGGAGTGCAGGTTTCCCAGCCAAAGCCAAGGAATATTTTAATTACATTTTTAACAGACTTAATATGCAAGTCTTCACTGGCGGGATAGGATATAGGTGACAATGACTGACAGTAGTCCAAGGCTTCCCAGCTTGGGTGGCTGGCTTAGACACAAACTATTGCTGAAAAGTCACCACAGTACAGAGAAGCAGAGGCCAGATGGGAAGGATAGGATACAAAAGCAAAACCAAAGGAACTTACAATCTTTAGATAAAGACGTCATATCAAAATGAGTGAGGCACTACAGTGCAGTGACAAGGAAAAGGGAAATAGGCCCGAAGATAATTCATTAGGCTTTACTTAAGGCCTTTCTTTTTTCTTCCTTGGACAGGATCTTATATAGCCCAAGCTAGCCTCAAACTCATGACCATCTGCCTGTCTCTGTCTCTCAAGTACTGAGATTACAGGCATCCACCACCATGCCCAGTTTTGATTACCTTAATCTTCAGTCATATATAACAGTGATGACATTTTGAATGCTTACTATGTGCTAAGCTCTCCACAAGTACATTAATTCTCACAATCACTATAAGATTAATACTGTGATATTCTAATTTGTACAGAAGAGGAAACTGAGGTTCATAGAAGCTAAGCAAGTTACCCAAAGTCACACATTAGGAGGTAGCAAGAGCTGGGCCTGGAACCAAAGACTGACTCAAAAGCTATAGTCTTAACAATTTTAGTGCATAGGAAAACAGAGGCATGCAATGAGAAAGTCATTTGCCTGAGTCAGTTTAGCAGAATCAGACTCAAAACCCAAATCTCCTGGCCCTGCTCCCAGAATTCTTTCAGAAAGCATGTTGTCCCTTTCCCTGTCAGTTCACTGTTCTCAGGCCCAAGAAATGTGGGCCTTCTAATAGGCTCCCTGGTGTCCAATTAAATTAAAATGAAAAAAGAACAAAGTAGGTGCTTGTTACAAACTTTAAAATATCACAGGAAAAGAAGCTGCCTCTGAGGAACCACTGACAAAAGGACCAAGAACTGGAATGGTAACATAAAGGATTAGAATTCTAAAGATGAGACTCTAAATTAGAATCTACTTATTGAGAAACCATTAAGTAGGAGCCCACTTAAGTTGAGGAGGAAAACATTCAGGAGATAATATATTAGAGAATATTTAGGAACCTGTGCAGCTCTTGATCACTGTAGCAACTCTGCATTATTCATTCAAGGACCACTATGGAGAAGCAGTGGGTAGAGAAGAGGCCAGAGTGCCAACATTAAGGCCAGACTGGTTAAACCCAGATCCTCACTTATAAGCTTAGCTGTATAATTTAGGCAACTTGCTTAGCCTCTCTGGGCTTATCTATAGGTATTGTGAGGATTAAGATTTGAGTCAGGGGGCCAAAGCCCTGGATTTGAGCCTCAGTACTGCATAAACTGAGTGTTGTGGCAACATGCCTGCAAATGATAGCACTCAGGAAGTGGAGACAGGAGGATCAGAAGTTCAAGGTCACCCTTGAACTATAAAGCAAGTTCAATATGAGGCCCTGCCTCAAAAAAAAGTTGAGGAGCTAGAGAGATGACTTAAGTGGTTAAGAGCACACGCTACTCTTTCAGAGAACACAAATTGGGTTCCCAGCACCCATACCACATACATAGGATGACCCACAACCACCTGTAACTCCAGATCCCAGGAATCTGTCATCTCTGGCCTTTGCATACCTTCACTTACATGCATATACCAGACACATACACACACACTCTTTTAAAAACTTGAAATTGCCCAGCGTGGTGGCACACACCTTTAATCCCAGCACTCAGGAGGCAAAGGCAGAGGCAGGCAGATCTCTGTGAGTTCAAGGCCAGCCTAGTCTACATAGTGAGTTCCAGGATAGCTGGGGCTACAGGGAGACCCTATCTTAAAAAGACAAAAAAAAAAAACCTTGAAATGTGAACCACTACAATAGTGCCTGGCGGTCTTCAGTATGTTAGGAATTACTATTATACTGAGAACAGCTTATACTGAACAGTGTGGTACTTCAGTGAGGGAAGGGCTGAAATGTAGAAGAAATGGATGTTTTCAGAAAGACAACTGAGGCTGGAAAGCTGGGCACATGGCAGACTCTCAGGTTGGAAAGCCAGGCTGGATTGGCTTGAGAAGGGGTCTCATGGGCCACTCTAGAGAGTCTGGGTGCTGCCCAAGTTTGAGAAAGCCATAGAATGGCAGAGCCCAGCTGGAGATGTGGGAGGCAGGAAGTAGAACCCATTCTGCTGTAGTCCCAGCCCTGGGGAGGACAGTGAGGCCGAGTTGGGAGAATGGCACAGATGTCCCAGAAGTAGAGCAGTATACTTTGAGACTGCCAGGAACAGGTCGTTTGCAGACCTATAAAAGCACATTGCCTGCTAGAAGGTCACTGTGGTTAGGATTGAGCAGAAAAAGAAAGTCCAAAGGAACTATTTAATGAGGTGAGAGGGATTATTTGGCCATAACCTTAAAAGATTAAAATAAAGAAACCTTATATAGTAAAGATGTTTCTCTCCAGAGTCAGACAAGGTAATTAAGGCTAATTTTAGCATGTAGGGTTCAAGTTAGATATGATCAAGAGATTTCTAACCACATGACAATCATAGGAACACCTAAGAAACATGAGGAACACAGAAGAACTTATTTGAAGATAGAATTTCTAAGGTGGCTGTGCTGACCCACACCTATATAATCCAGTACTTGGGAGGCTGTGGCATGAGGATCACTGTGAATTCTAGGCCAGACTGGGCTACATAATGAGACTTCTTAAACCCAAAATAAACAAAACTGAACTTCCACAGGAGATTCAGATCAGTGGTAGAGCACTTCCTAGCATACCTGAGGCGCTGGGTTCGATCCCTAATATCATCGAAAACTGAAATTCTTGCTTCCTCTTTTAAGTACAGCCATGCCTTGGATAGAAAGAGGAAAGTTCTACAAGTCCTTTCCTATAATTTTGTATAAGAAAACATTTTAAATGTACTAAGACAATTTAAATGAGTTCTAAGTAATTAATACTTAAGAAACTGGGTTATTACTGCCTATCTTGATTCACCTGTTATGCCAAGAGTCTTACAAGTACATTCAGAATGTGAGATAGCAAATTCCAGGAACTGCTGAGAGCCGTTTAAAGACATCTGGAAAAAAATCCACCCAGGGCACACAGGAGAATTGGCTGATAAAGTCTGAACCCTGGTGATCACATTTGACAGCCTGGGGAGCACTGATATAAGCAGCCTAAAAAGTTATCTTCAGGTTTTGAAGCCTTAGGGCATAGTAACACTGTCTTGATTCATATTTTCCTCAAGCAGTCCGTTCTCTCACTATCTACCCTTTCTCTTCTACCACCCCAACCTTCTCCTGGACCCCTTTGGTCTGTGGCTCGGAGCTGCCCTCTTGAACATCAATCCAATGTGTCTTCTTCCTACTCTACAGACTCACACCATCTTCTCATTGTTGGGTGTGGACCATGCATATGTCACCAGCATTGGCAGACTCATTGGAATTGTTACTCTAAAGGAGGTGAGGCGAAACAGCCAAAGCCACTTCCACTTTCAAAAGGCATCAGAACTGTTGATTCCCCTAGAGGAAATGCTGGGGAGGAGTCTCAGTAGGGAACCCCAAGTGCAGACATTTGACCCTTACCTTTTCAGCTTCGGAAGGCTATTGAGGGCTCGGTCACTGCCCAGGGTGTGAAAGTCCGACCGCCCCTTGCCAGCTTCCGAGATAGTGCCACCAGCAGCAGTGATACAGAGACCACCGAAGTACATGCACTATGGGGGCCCCACTCCCACCATGGCCTCCCACGAGAAGGCAGCCCTTCTGATAGTGATGACAAGTGCCAGTGAACCCTTCACTGGGTGGCCTATATCCCTTCTGCTTTGGAAGAGCAAGAAACAGTGGCAACGAGAGACTGGAACCCAAGTCCCCACGCTAGCCCTGGGCTTCCAGCTGTTCCATCTCCAGACCATCCTACCTGGGATGTGACTCAACACCTACATGCCTGAGGATCAGCACTGCCCTGCCAGGATGAGGTGGGATCATGTGACCCCTGGCCCCTTGGAGAAAGGGGCAGAACTAAGATGGGTTTATACTGGAACCTCCAATACAACAAATTCTTAAATAGAATAAAGTGAACACCTGATGAGCCACTCGTGTACAGAGTGCTGTGCTGTTGGCTCGTGTTCTCACCTTGGATCCTCTGACCTGCCCAAAGCCTATGGGGCTTCTTCTCAGCCACCTACCCTCCCCGCAGCCACAAAAATCTAGAGCCCAACATCACTGAAATGTACAATCTGCCAATGGCCTCCACTGCCTGATCAGTAGTACCCTGACTAGGGCAGGGCCCCTAGCACTGTGGCTACAGCCTTCCGTTCAGCTGAGAAAAGCACTACCTTCTTTCCTCCCTGATGGAAAGGCACTCCCTCATGAGTATTAGTTCATTGGCATAAATGACCAAGCACAGGCATCAACAGACAGCTTCCTGGCTACGTCTGTGGCCCCCTTGTGGTCCTCTATGGAAGAACATAGCTCTGTAACCAGAGCCATTCCCTTTTCCATTTCCACCTACTGAGAATTCTGCATGTGCCCACACATCTTTGCTGCGCTGGGAAAAGGCCTGGGCTGGGGAGGGGAGTTGGTGGGGGGGGGCAGGGGAAGGGAAGAGGGTACATGCTTTCATCATGCCAGTGCCTCCTAGAGAAGATCGGCTGAAAGAACAGACCAGAAACCCTCTGTCTTTAAGAAAAAAGGTTTAGAGATGATGGAGAGGTGAAGCACAGCAGAGCCCAGCTGGGCAAGGGGCCCCTAGGGCTCAATCTGTAGACTCTGAGAAGGCAGGAGCCAGCCCCACAGGTGGAGGTTGATCTGTCAAGCACTGCACATGGACTCAGGTGAGGAGAGAAGCAGAGGAGAGGCACACTGGGGAAGGTGGAGGAGATGGCCAGGCTCCCTCCATTCCCACCACCCCCCCCCCAGCACAGTCAAAACAACCCCCTTAGTTTCACATCATCCAGGAGGAATTGCAGCAAGAATATCACTGTCTGCCACAGCTGTAACCATGCCCCAGGGGCCCCAGGCAAGCCCCAGCAAACCCCATGAGCGGGGGCAGGACATGCGCCCCCCAGCCTGGCCCCTGCCTCCTCTCCAAACACTTTCATGCAAACACACAATGGAGAAGTGAGTGCTCCCAGAAGCCCTCTAAGCTTCGGAGCCCACATTTGGCCACAGAGGCTCTGCCCCTGGCAGCAGCCAAGGGAGACATGCCACCACCAGGCATGACTTGGGTCACTGTTCCTCAGGCTCCACCTCATCCTCATCCAAAGATATGACCCCAGAAGAGGCCACATCAGAGACTTGCCGCTGCCGTTCCCAGCTGCCCACAGGCAGTGGGCAGAGCAGCTGGCAGTCCTTGCAAGAATCAGGCTCCTCCTCAGTAGGAGAAAGGCAGGATTCCGTGAGGGGTGAGTTGTAAAATGAGTCCTGGCCCTCCAATGGACCCAGGCTGCGGAAGGCACTTTCCTGGCTGGGGGGCAGTTTGGCAAGGAGCAGCTCTTCACCCAGCATCTGGGAGGTCATCATCCGGGCTGGGGAGCCCAGCAACCCATCCTCCAGGCTGCAGAGACTAGAGCACAGGGTGTCCGGGGACACGGTCTGCGAACAGTCGCTCTCAGGCTCCACAGAGCCCTGGCGCACAGGCCGGGAGAATCGGCGACCTGTGAAGAGGTCCTGGAGGTGGGGCCCCAGAGATCCAGCCATATCTGTGAGAGGAAGAAAAAAGACAGCTCTGCTGACCCTTTCAACTGGCCAATGCGGAAACCACAAAGCCACCCACTCCCACTTTCTTCCACCTTTACTATAGCTGGAGGGTAGGGGTCTTCAATGTGAATAAGAGCTGGGTAACCTTGAACAAGTCGTCATTTTAATGCCTTAGTTCCTCTCATGGTAACCTGGGAATTCTAATAATATCTACCTTATGGAGTTGTTGGGAGAACAAGAGTCTGGCACACAGGAGGCAAGCAATAAATGTAGGGTCACTGCATATAGTCACACAGGCAGTGACTGAGAGCTGAACTGCCCTCACTCTGCTCACTAAGCAGCATGTCCTAACATGGGACTGTGCCCACCAGAAAACGCTGTGCATTTTTTAAAAATGTGCTCAAAGATTCTGCATAAGCAAGCAGCAGCTTTGAATTAATGTTCACGGCTAGCCTGGGCTACATTATAAATTCCAGGTTTGGCAGGGCATGGTGGCACAAGCCTTTAATCCCAGCACTCAAGAAACAGAGGCAGGCAGATCTCTGTGAGTTCAAGGCCAGCTGGGGCTACAGGAAGACCCTGTCTCAAAAACACCAAAAATAAATAAATAAAGTCCAAGCCAGCCAGTGATACACAGTGAAACCCTGTCTCAAAAAATAAATGGGCTGGAGAGATGACTCATCGGTTAAGAGCACTGACTGCTCTTGCAGAGGACCCGGGTTCTATTCCCAGCACCCACATGGCGGCTACGAACTGTCCTTAACTCCAGTTCCAGGGGAATCCAAAGCCCTCTTCTGACCTCCATGGCACTGCACGACACGGGTGCACTCACATACATGCAGGCAATATACTCATATACATAAAAATAAAATATTTTTTAAAAAATGAAAGAAAAAAAACAGAAAATACTTGTGGTTGAGGGTTCCATCTTGGCCTTAGGCATCCAAATTAGTCCTTTCTGGACCACTGCTTTAAATGTAGGGTCTGTCTTAGAAAACTTGCTAATTAGAGGAGTGGGAGCAAAGAGGTAGGGGGGCAGGGGTCCTGTGAGGCCAGACACTAGAAGTTACAGAAAAAGCTGGCCACACAGTCCCAGGAATGGAAGATGAAAGGAGAGCTGAGCACAGCCGCACAACCCCCAGGGTCCCTTCTGTAAGCACTGGCCCACAGCAAGTCCCACAGGATGGAATACAAAGATGGTGAGCTGGAGCCAGCATCCTGTGGAGTCCAGGCCCAGCATGCCTTCCTGTTTGCCTGGGATCACTGCCCTGTGAGGTGTTGGGCACTGTACTGCAGCTCATCTGCTCTGCCACAGCCAACTAGAGCTGCCTCAGAGAGGAAAGGCAAGGATACTCACAGATCCTTCTAGAAACATGGCTCTGCTGTGCAGATGGAGAGCACTGAATTCTCTGGACTTGGTTTTATTTACTTGAGAACCATACAACCCAACTACACACAGGGAGAGAAAGGGCTCAGCACCTATAGGAAAGGAGCTATTCCACTTCAACTGCTAAGTTCCCAGAATGTGACCTGCCCTCTTTGCCTCCAGGGTATCAAAGTCACCTGGATAAAGTTCATCTCTTGAAGGCTGAGGTTGCTCCGGAGTAAATCACAAGGCCTGTTAGGGGGGTCTAACCCCAGGTGGGGGCACCAATACAGAATGCTGCTCACCTGTGTCAGTTCCCCCAGTAAAGTCCTCATCATAGGAGTCATCGGTGGAGTCATCACCATCCACTGAAGACCATGCCCGGAGCTTGGCTTCTGCAATAGCAAACTGCTCAGCTACTCCTGTCAAAGAGACACAAAATTCACTGGCACAGGAGCTGAGGTAAGACTAGGGCTTGGTTTGCAAGCAGCAGGTATCATTGAGATTTCTGGGCAGAGACAGGTGTGGAAAAATGCCAACCTCCATGGCAGATGCAATAAGATCAGAGGCATTAGTCCTATGACAAGTGTGGCTAACCCCCTTTCTGCTACCCACCTGCTGCAAATCGAGCTTCTTGTTCACCCTCACTGAGGTCTGAATAGGAGGAAAAGGCTGATTCCAGGGCAACAGATGAATCACTAGGTTTGCTCCAGCCCTTCCACTCAATCAGGTGAGCCACACGGCCCTGGGCCATGGCTGTAGGCTTTGTTACATGATCCTTCACCACCTGGGAAATACCTGGAAGTGGAGGAATGAGGAAAAGTCTGATAAGGGCAAGGGCAGAGAACACCTGGCTGGGACGTGGGTAAGGATAGTTAGACTCCATGCTCTTAGGGTAGGGAAGGGCTGAGATTCATTTACAAAAGGGAGGTCCCAGAAAATGCCCTCAGGAAATAGTCCCCAAAAGACCTGAGCAAAAGAAAGGAAAAGGCCAGGCGTGGTGGCGCACCCTTTTAATCCCAGCACTTGGAAGGCAGAGGCAGGCAGATCTCTTGAGTTCAAGGCCAGCCTGTTCTACACAAGTTCCAGGTCAGCTGGGACTACAGGGAGACCCTGTCTCAAAAAGACCAAAAAGGACAAACTGGCCAGAGATAGAGTGGGGTGCATACCATGCAGGGAGGATCTGGCCAGCGCAGCAATCTCCTGGATGGTTAGGGCTCTCCGGGACTTGGGCAGCATCGCGACTGTGTCTCCAACATTCACCTTGAGTAACATCATCAAAAGGTCAGTGCCCCTCTGACAGCAATGACCTTTCTTCCAACATGTTTATATCTAATCCAAGGTATCAGGGGTAAATGAGAACTGGAAGAATGCATATGCTTCAGGAGTCACTGGCATGCACAGAAGGATAAGTGAGGACTCATGAACTCTCCTCCCAGGGAACAAAGGAGACTCAGTCCCAAGGAAACAGAACTGCAGCTAATCCTACATCTTCCCAGCACCTGGCAGGGAAGCAGATCAGGAAGTAAAGAACATGGAGTAGGGCCTCTGAGGACAGGGAAAAGAGGAAAGGTGGTAGCTAAGGTATCAAAGACTTCCCTAAGTTTCCTCCCCTGTCCTGTGCTGAGTCTTCAGATTCGTGTTCTAGTTCTTTCTAGGCTCTTTACTAGAGACACATGCTTAGCATGACCAAAGTCAAACCAACACATTCTCCTCCCCACATCTAGCTTTGCTTTACAACTTTGTTTCTTTATATAACAACCACTGTTCTCCCATTCCACTGGGTTCCCTACCTCAGTATTACCATCAACTCTCCCCTAAGCTTTGCCTGCCCACCTATATCTAATCTTAAAGTCTATGGAGAGTTGGAGAGATGGCTCAGGGATTAAGAGCACTGGCCACTCTTGCAGAAGACCCAGGTTCAGTTCCCAGCACCCACATGGCAGCTAACAACTATCTGTAACTCCAGTTCCAGGGGATCCAGTGCCCTCTTCTGACCTCTATTGGCACTGGATGACATAGGTGCACTTACATACATGTGGGCAATAATACACTCATACACATAAATTTTTTTTAAAAGCTTATTGCAGGACTGGAAATACAGCTATGTTGGTAGAGTGCTTGCATAGCATTCAGGAAGCACTGGGTTTGATCACCAGCACAGCATAAACCAGGCACTATGGTGCCTGGTGAAGGAAAGAAGTCAATTTTGGCTACACAGTGTTGAGGTCAGCCTGGGCTACATAAGAACCTGTCTCAAGCCGGGCATGGGTGCACACCTTTAATCCCAGCACTGGAGAGGCAGAGGCAGGCGGACCTCTGTGAGTTCCAGGCCAGTTGGGGCTACATGGAGACCCTGTCTCAAAGACTTAAACAACAAAAAAACACCACCACTAAAACTCTAGTGATTCTGCTTCCAAGCTTCCCCTGCTAGCACTCATGTCCTTTCTATTCCCACTGCCACTTCCTCGACTCTACGGTACCCCTGCCCAGGTTAGCACAAGTCATGGGTCCCTAACCTCCTCCAACTCTGTACTGTTTTCTCAGACTAGAATGCTGGGTATGTAATCTCAATCCTTTTTCTCTGTCTCTCTCTTGCTCACTGTCACTCTCATCCCATGAGATGGCTCACTCATCTTTATTGACATTTCACCCTCTCAAAAGCACCTAGCCACCCTTCCAGTGGTCTGTCCTCTCACTGTAGTCTCTAATAAACCACTATCTTCTACCAGTGTACCAAGTAAGGAGCTTAGGTGCCAAGTGTAAATATGGTCTACTTCACGTTTCCTATTTCTTGTTGGTCTCCTCCATTGGTCTCCTTCATTGGTCTTTACTTCTGATGAATTTAGTATGTGTGGTCACTGCTGCAGCTCAGTGTTTTTTAACACAGTGCCCAGTGTGTTAAATGCACAGGATAAATGAACGAGGCAAGGTATGAATGTACACCATTTTCCAGAAGTACAGTGAATCAAAGCGTATCTCTCTTTAAAATCTTGTACAAAGATGTATATGCACAAAAATGTGAGAATGAGACCAATTATTTTTTAGTATGCTAACTGAAAAATTAAAAAGTTTTTTTTAGAGGGCTGGAGAGATGGCTCAGTAGTTAAGAGTACACACTGCTCTTGGTTCCCAACAGCGGCACCAGGTGGCTTACAACCTCCTGTAATTCTAACTCCAGGGGATCAAATGCCTCTGGCCTCTGTGGGCACTGCACTCAATTTCACATACCCACACACAGACAATACACACAATTTAAAATAATGCCCTTTTTAAAAAAAATAATTAGCAAAATAAGGCTTTTCTAGGCTTTTCCCCCATTACTGCAGGCTTCCTGTCTAGGCACTTAAAGGAGGCCTCACCTCCTCCTAGACTTCCCTGGAATCCAGCACTCACCTCTGCCCAACACCTCACTTCCCCACCTTCCCTTGTCAGCAAGCAGCCTGCCTCCCTCCAGGAAAAGGAATCAGCTTTAGGGGCCAAGAAGGCCATCCTTGCTTACAAAATACTCCCTTGCCGTTTGCCGTTTAAGGCTTGCCACAGTGCTACTTGGTAATAATTTCAGCCCACAGACTTACTCTTTCTCCTTTGCCACCTTCCCCTGGTTCCACTGTTGTGTCAGTCCGAGGGAGTAGGGGATGGCAGAGCCTGAGAGTTTGATCCACCTGGGCTCCTAACTCCATCCTGTACCTGTGTTCTTTGACAAGCACCAGCAGATGCAATTCCATTGGAATTGAGGCGCACACCCCTTTCCCAGAATTATCTAACTTTCCATCGGTCCCACCTGACACAAGTGGCTTCCACCTGCCCCTTGATCTCAGGCCCATCCTATCCCTCCCCTTCAGTACCTGGCTGACAGGGCCTCCAGGTTGGCGTTGACAGACTCTGGCCAGGCCTTTAGGAAGGAGAACTTGCCCTGTCGGTGTTTCCTGGCTTGCTCTCCCTCCCTTCCCTCGCTTCCCCCAGCCGCTGCCATCCATACCCGACACTCTGCGCAGCTGCAGCCCTAGCCCACAGAAAAGGTGTACATCTCCCTGGCAACCCATCACCACGCAACAGGGTCTCCTGGGATACGGCCCGGGATGCGCTGACGTCAGCGCCCAAGGCGCTAGCAAGCCCGCTGGCACCTCGCAGAGAGGAGCAGACCGGAGCGGGGGCGGCCTGCCGGATAGCGCCTCCGCTTGCAGGAAAAAGGGAACCCGAAGCAGGATGGTGGTGATGGGGTGGGGGGTGCTACAGATACACTAAGTGTGAATGCATCCCCCATACACAAACAGAAGGGGCTCAGCACCTCTGGCAAGTCCTGGCTGTCCACGGAGGAAGGACGGGGGGACCGGCTCCAACCTCGGAGAGTCCTAGCAGATCCCAAGGAGGACAGAGAGAGACCTCGAGGGAGTTCGATCCACTCCACAGCCCAGGCAGGGTCTGAAGCCACTGAGGAATGGGGTGGAAAGGGTGTTCATCTGGATCCCCACTTCTGCCGAGATCACCATTTTTATCCAGTGTTGCCATGTCATTTATTTACCCCCTCCCCCACCTCCCAGAATATCTGTGACCACCACCCACGCACTCTCCTGTACCCTGAAAGCCCCTCTCCCACAGCTCTGACTGGGTTGGGGGTCTTCCGTGGAAGCCCAAAGGACACTTTTCTCCACAGATTGCCATCAAAACTCTTAAGGTGAAACCCAAGCGGGGGTAAACTGTGAATCTTCTCCTAGTTCCTCAGCCTACCCACCCCTTGGAAAGCACACAGAACTCTCTCTCCCACGGACTGATACCATCCCTTCCTCACTGCCAGCCTGACCCCTGGCAGACTTCACTGCCTTCCTTCTCTGTCCCTGCTCCCTTGGTTCTTTCATCTTGCCAGTCCACACTGTCTACCTACTCTATTCTCATGATTTAAAAAACGAACAAAAAACACTTAAGTCTTAAATAGCCATTTCCTGATGGCCCCAGCCTTGTAGGCCACCTTACTTCAGCCTGGTTTCTAATATCCAAGCCAGAGTAATTTTCCTTTCACCATCTGAGTGCCCTCCTCCTCAGCTTCCCATCACCTCCCAGATCACATCCATGGTCTCTGGTCTCACCTCTACGACTTGTCTGACAAGTCCATCGTCCTCCAGGCCCTTCCCGCTGCCACAAAAACATTTTACCCAGCACAGAAATCATAGGCATGCTGGCTATGTTGATGCAGAGAACCAAAAGCCCAAACTGCTCCAGGCTCAGCTCCCAGTTCTATTCTCGTTTTGGCTCCGGATGCTGAGCCAGTCCCCTCCCCATTTGGAACTTGTGCCTAGTCACATAAGGAGAACACTCCTGTCTCATAGCTTTAGGAAGTGGGAGTGCCAGGGGCCTAGCCAAGCTCTCTGGGACTTAGGGAGCTAAAACTCATCCTCGGCTACACAGTGCCAACAGGCCATGTACATCACAACTGACCTTTTAGCTGGAGCAGCCGTCTCTGTCCCTGAGCCTCAGCCAGCTGGCGGTCCCCAGAAATGCTACCAATCAGAAGGGAGACAGGAGGTTACAGGCTATCCCTGACCCCCAGCTAGTACCTAATCAGGGCTCTCAAGGCCAGTCCAGAGATCAGCCAAATGAGTCCCCGTCTACAGGAGGGGATGACTTCTGAACTCCAACCAGACCAGGGGAAATTCAAGTAGCCTGCGGCTTCTCATATTCAAAAGCCACGAGGCTAAAAAATTTAGGACTACAAATCCCAGAATTCATCAAGGTAAGTACAAATCTCAGCCATAGTTAGGTCCAAAGCACCATAAGTATAAACCACATTAAGGCTTATGTGGGAGTGACCACCTGCCTGGAAGGCCAAGGACCCATTTCAAACCCATTCCTTAAAATCAAAAGTCCCTGGAGAAATCCATGACATAGATTTGTAAGGTAGGCTGGCAGACCTCAGATGTCTAGAACACAGGCCCCACATGTGTTCATATGGAATCAAGGCCTGAGCAGGGGCCTTCTGCTGTAGGAAGCCCTTGATAGCCTGTCTCTGGACTCCCTTTTCTCTCCAGAGTAAGAGTGTTTTGTTGTGCATGGGAGTAGAGGAATGAAATGAAGAGGTGTAAGTGTGAGGGATGATCAGTTTGCTCACAGGTGCCCCCACATGGGGCCTCAGTCCCCTTCATCAACCAGCTGACTCTGAAGTAGGACAGCAAGTGTTAGGCAAAAACTCTGTGGTAGGGTACTTGGCCAGCGTTAGGCTGACTCCTTAAAACAATAGCACTCAGCTGAGAAGCAGGTTCAAAGCACAGAGCCACTCCCTAGACAGTGAGAGGAGGGGCGGGGGCCGCAGGGTACCCAGCCGCTCTCAGGCCACGCTCCGCAGCCACCCTCAGCGGTACCAGTACGGACATATGGTGAGACCACGCAAAAGCCCAGTTGCAGGCAGGTCACAGGAGCAAACATGAGTCGGTAAGCCCCCTCCCAGTTCCTTCATTTGGCCCGACCCGCCTCCCGGGTGCAGGCTCCTCCCTCTCCCGACATCAGCCCCCTCCTCACGGCCTCTACCCACCCACGGCCCCACTGAACTGCTGCAGCCCGACTCCCCAGCCATGCTCCGGCCTCCGCCTCTTACCCTGACCCGCTGGGCTCCGAGAGCCAATACAGCCCATGGCAGGGCACCCAAGCACATTAGCCCGCGCTCGGGGCCCCCGCCATTGCCTTGCCGAGGGTCGGGCCGCGGTCACTACCAGGGAGGGGACAGCCTTTAAGAAGGGAGGGGGTGGGAGCAGCGCGTCCGCCGCCGCTCCCGGGAGAGGGAACCGGGTCGGTGACGTAAGCGCGGGGGCGTGGCCGCCCGCGTCCCCACCCAGAGCAGGCGGGGCAAGGCCTACGTCACAGCCACGCGGGGACTGCCTTAGAAACCGCCTGTCCAGTCCCCTCCTAGGCCTCTGCGGAGCCACTCTGAAGGCAGAAAGTCACTGCTGCTTTTCCAGAGAATATTTCCATTATAGCTCCTCCAGGTATAAAAGCGCCTCAAACCCAGGGCCTCCATCGGTCTGGTAAACAAGCAAAAGCCCATCAATTATGTCCTAAGTACCCTACTAGTTTCCCTTCTAACCAAAGGAAACCCCATCATGCCCACCCTTCCAGGAGAAGCCACTCCCCTCAAATCATTGGCGGGGCTGGAGAAAAGGGTGATGCAAGATTTCCAGGTTAACACAATGCCAGCTCTGGAAAGGAAGAGGCCCACCTAACCACCACCTTTCTCCAAAGGGAGGTCATAAAAGAGAGGCAAGTGAACTTAATTGAATTCATGTTTAATAATTACAGGCACCGTGCCCCCCCCCCTTTCCCCTGCCCAGGCAGCAGCAGGGGTGGTGCAGGGGCTGGGGCATATGCCCCCAGCAGCGAGGACGGCAGTCCCAAGAGTGATTTCTGAAAATAAAAAAGGACCTTATAGGGGCAGGCGGTAGTGCTCCCCCTTCCCAAGACACGCCAAATTTCAAGACTTTATATATATCTCTGTGCCCCAGGGGGAGGAGAGGGACACCCGGCAGCATCCTGGAGAGGGGCCCCAGGCAGCTCCAAGCCATCCTGCCTCATCTGCCACTTTATTAGCTCAGACACATCGCACTACAGGCACCCACTGCCACTGCCGCCCCCCTGCAGTCCAGGTGGCTGGCTGGCTGGCCCATCCACGTGTCCATGGCTCCAAGTCCCTGGCCCCACCCGCCATCAGTTGTGGTCAGACTCCTCCTCCTCAGCCTCCCGAAGCCAATTGAAGAAGGCTGTAACAGACTTAAGGGCCACACCCTTGCCCTGCTGCTCAGCAGGGTCCTTGCTGCTCTCCCAGCTGTAGAAAGCGTCTTCCTTCACCACGTCCTCATCATACAGCGCATCAAAGAACATCCGAAGTAGGTCTGCAAGCCGTAAGTACATTTAGTTAGAGGTGACTAGCCAAAAGCCTTACCAGTCTGTCCCCAGAGATCCCTCCCCAAGCTCCACAGTTAAACCCTGACCTTCAGTGGTCTCTAAGCACTGAAGAGATGATGGAAGGCTAATCTCATGACATAGACTAGTTAGTACCCAGGAATGATAGTACCCAGGAATGAGTCATTTGGCCATTACAATGGTTTTTTTTTGGGGGGGGGGTCTTTTGGGGGACAGGTCTCCCTGTAGCCCCAGCTGGCCTGGAACTATGTAGACCAGGCTGGCCTTGAACTCAGAGATCTGCCTGCCTCTGCCTCCCCGTGCTAGGATTAAAAGCCTGCACCACCACACCCAGCTGGCCATAACAAATTCTTACAGTCAGGCATGGTGGTGGCAGGCTTATAACCCCCAAATATTTGGAAAGGCCAAGGCAGAAAGATTCCAAATTCAAGGCTACAGTGAATTCAAGGTCAGCTCTGGCAACTTAGCAAAACTGCCTCAAAAAAAGGAAAAATGATCACTTCTGTACATTTTGGCTAAGATCAAGTGTACCAAGAACAAAACAATGAGGGGGCTGGAGATATGTCTCAGATATTAAGAGCCCTGGCTGCTCACAACTGTCCATAACTCCAGTTCCAGGGGATCCAACACCCTCTTCTGACCTCCATGAGCAACGCACAACATGGGTGCACTTTTATACACACATGTAGGCAACACATTCATACACATAAAAAGAAATAAACAAAACACACTAGAAACCAGCCACGAGAGTACAACTCTAATCCAAGCATTGCAGAGGCTGAGACAGAACAAGTTCAAGGTCAGCCTGGACAAAAGAGAACCAGAAAACAAAGAAGGCTAGAGATATAGCCCAATGGTAAAGTGCTGGACCACCACTACCACCATGTCTGAGGCCCTAGGTTCAGTTCCCAGCATTGCAAAACAATTAGGCTGGGGATATGGCTCAGAAATGGAATGTCTGCCTAGAGAATGTGCCAAGAGGCACTGGGTTCAATCCCCAGTAGAGGAGAGTTAAAACAAGAAAAACAAAAACCACATATTCACCTAACTTCACGGTGTAAGCGTTAACCTTCCCAACCTGTTATTTAATATTTAATGAGAGAAACTTACATGTAGACTTGGTTCTACTAAATTTAGGGAATCACTTAAGACCCAAATGTATTATGTATAAATGGAAGCTATAACATGGGACGTCCACTAGTCTGGACTTCCTGGACCAGGATCCAAACATCCTGACAAACTTTTGATTCCAATTTCCTCTTCTTTGCCACACACCCAAACTCTCCCTCTGGCCTTACCACTTCAGAGTGCTCTGGCCTTGCCAGTAGTATCATTTCTCTTACCACCTTCCTGATTAATTGAATTCAGACACATGCCTCCTTCTTGAACTGGCCACTAAGAAAGCTTTTCCCAAGCATTTGTCCTACAATTATAATCCCTGAACACTACCTGTTCCTATTTTCTATACTGTACCTCCAGTCTTTCCAAACCAAATTACAAAGTACAGGATGTACCAAGTCCAAACCAAGGTGAAATCCCGAGCAACCTATGGGAAGCTCAAGCCAAGATATTCTTCTAGGCATTCCAAATGCCTCTGGACACAGCTGCCTCCCATAGCAGCGGCAGAAGTTGATTCTTATTCCACACTTGTGCTCACAAACCTGCAAAACATCCCTTTAGAGAACCCTATACAACTGCTTATCCATTCTGCTCTGTATGTTTATTCCTAAATTTGTCCAATTGACACACAAAAGGCCACCTGTCAACAACTACCACATTATCTAAACAAGACACTTGTTTTTTTTCTTTCCATTCAAGAGTCTACTCTACCAAATACTGGAATATTTTGTCAGAGTCATCTCCATGCTTTATCTCAGAGGTCTTGTTCAGGTAAGCTCCTACCAAACTCTGTGGCACCTAGCTTTGTCACCCATTTCTTGTCCTAGAATTTCTTTTGTTCACAGGGCCTTCACTACCTGTGTCTCTTCCACTTCCCCAGGATTCTATCCCAAGCCCTTATCATTCCTCTTTGAGCAACCTCATACCCTTTTGTGACCTGAGCATGCTATGTAGTGCCAGCACCTCAGGGCTACCTCTTGCCCGTCTTTCCCCTACATCTGCTGTGTACCTGACAATCTCTGAACCTCCCCACTAGGGACAAGCAAACTTTTTTTATTGTCTTTTTGAGACAGGGTCCCTATAGCCCCAGCTGGCCTGGAACTTACTCTGTAGACCAGGCTGGCCTCAAACTCACAAATATCCACCTTCCTCTGCCTCCCAAGTGCTGGGATTAAAGGCAGGCACCACCACACCCCACTACAAGCAACTCTCTAGCAAAAGGCATTGAAGCATTGTCTAGCCTGCTAAATCTACCCTGGGAATCATCCATGAGGTTTTTCATGATCAGTTCCCAAGGTCAATGTGACTCTATTTCATAATCTCTTGAATATGCTTTTCCTCCCTAACTCCCTATCATCAAGGTGACATCACTAGTGTGGATCCTGCCATAGTCACCCCGACTCTACCTCAAAACATTGCCCATGATGTCAAAATGGGTCAAAGTAGCCCAGGCACGCCTCAAACTTAGAGAGCCTCCCACCTCTGGTCTACCTAGTGTTGGGATGACAGGGTATGCCACCATGCTCAGTTCAATTGCTTACAGTCCCAAAAGGCCTTATTCTACCCAAGCCCCAGCCACAACTCACATGAAGTACCTGGCCCTGGTCACTTAGCCAACCCTCTTGGCCTGTCACTGCTGCACTCTCCCTCCCTCAGCAACTCTCTTCTGTGTCAAGTTCATCCCAACTCAGGCCCTGCCTGTTCCCTCTCCATCTGTTGGCTAACTAATTCCTACCCACCATCCCTCAGATCTACCTTCCAACACCCACACAGTCATTACTGTCTCCAGGCCAGCACTGAAGTATGTTCCATTTTTTCACTGCAGTTACCTCAACACCTGAACACATACATACCCATGTGCTAAATCCATAAACCTCAGATATGTTCACTAAGCCTAGGTTCCAATGTGGAAAATGGGGACAAATCTACAACAGCTATGAGGCACATAAGAAGGCAAAGTAAGCAAAGCATTTCAGCTTCTTACCAGACAGGTCTAAAAGATGCTGTATTATTACCACTGTTGTGTCAGCAAGCAAAGCAGGTAGGCAATCAATCAAGGCTGAGACTAACTCCTTTCATTCATGAGCAAGGAAACATTCGCTCTACCCACCTTTCTTGAGTTGAACCTTCTATCACCACCCTCTTCTATCTGGCAATCCCTCTGCCCCATTCCCACCCCTGCAGCCTGGCTCTTACTGGCAGGCTGTTCTAAGGTCACTACAAGGGCCTGGAGGGCATAGAGGGCTTGTAGCTCCTTCTGCTCATCACACAGGTATTTCTGTAGCAGTCTCGCTCGGGCTTTCAACACTGCAACATCCATTCGGAGAGGAGTCTCAACTGTAGGGAAAATAAGGATAAGTAGAATGGTGCAGCCTTCACTGCTTGGCTCTTTCCCTCCATTTGTCTGCTGGGCCCACCCTTATCCCAACCATCTCCCTGGCCCCTCTTACAGATAATTGCAGAATAACACACAGTTGTCATGAGGGCTCGAACTAATGTATTGGATGCTATCTGCTGCTCATTCAAGTTGGCCTGTATAGAGAGAGAAATGATTCACCAGTTCTGAATTGTACCCCTTAATATCCATTCTTGTCACCTTCCAACCTATCCTGTCAAGAAAGAAATACTTCATCCTTCCTCCAATATCCAGGGAAAACACACCTCTATCCAGTCGAACACCCGCTGGTTACTGTTGCCCTCCTTCAGCAGCTTCTCCAGCTGCCTGCGCAGATCCTCAAAGGCAAGTGCCCTCTG